AAGAAATAATCAAGAATTGTTTGGATTAGGATGATGTTATTTATCTAAGAAAATAATTTGTATTCCTTTCTCTACCTGCATATGCATAATATGATTTGCACCTCTTAAATGATAAAAAAACCCCAGATTTTGGAGTGGTTGAGGTCCATTACAAGAACCAGTGGAACTTCTGTCTGTTTCTTTTTTCCTTTTTTGTTTCTTTTTTTTTTTTTTTTTTGTGCAAATTGGTATAAAGATTTCAAAAGTGCACACTTGTCAGAGTCCTATAAGCCAGTAAATCAATAAGGAAGAGAAACTTGGAAAGCTAAAAATGTTCTGCCTGATCTTTGGAGAAAACCAATGTACAAATGCTGTGTGTATTTTGAAAAGGATGTCAGGAACAGTTAATTATGTCCTGGATAATGCAAAGGAAAATTAGAAAGATGGTACAAACTGGATTTCATTTTCAGTGCCCAGAAAATATTTGTTTCCATTTACACTGCTATTTAATATCAACGTGATATACCAACTATACTAATAGCCTGAAAATATCTGGTTTATCCCTAGGGAATGAAGACTCCAGAGAGCTCTGCTGAAGCATCTATTTGGTGCATTTGGCTGTCCCTACAATGACTTGTATTACAAATTTCTTTTCTTGGACAGCAGATAAAGCAAACAAGAAAGAATCAGCCAAGTGTATTCTTTGAATTTTCGCTGTTCCAAAATTTTGAAGGTTTTCACAGAAGCAATCTGTTTGTAGATCTTTTTTAGGAAACTACTTCTCTAATCATCAAGTTCTCATTGTCTCTACCACTCTCCAATAATAATGGAAAATAAATATTTCAACCCTGTTGCAATTAATCTTGAAGACTAGTGGCTGGTTGATTGGTTTGTTGGTTGGGTCTTTAAATGAATCCAAACCATCTATCAGATAGGAGCAGTTAGCAGAAGACCAACAATTTTTCTGCTGGGTAAGGGATGCAAGAATGAAAACGTGGTAAATAATTAGGAGTTTAATATTACAAATATACTCTGAAGAAATAACAAGAGTAGAAATATATTTCTGACAAATACATAAAAATTTTATTATTCTAATATAGTTTACTTTTTCTCAGGTAATGCAGACCAACAGAAAGGTAAGGGATATCCTCACCTCCTTTCAGGGAAATTTCTCTTCTAGAAACAATTGAAATTTTAGGACATTATTTCTTAATTTCTGAATGTGTTTTCCCTTTGAAAAACATTCCAGTGATTGTAGATGTGTAGGTATTGTAGGATTGTAGGTAGCAGCAATGGAGATGTTACTGTTTGTGAGTGGCTTGGTATTAAGAAAACACAGGCCAGCTATTCTCTGGATTTATCTTGGCCTGAAAGATATATTATGGCTTCTTTAAGCATAAAGAATTATGTAACCATCAGGTAACAATTATATGGTTTGTTTTAGCTTTGTTTAGCTTTATGTAATCATACGGTGTAACTCTATATATATATATTTGTATTTTTGTATTTGTTTGAAGGAGTCATTTGCTGTAGAATAAACCTATGATCTTAAAATAAAATTCAGACTATAATAAAATCACATAATGAGAAGAGAGTTTGAAAATATTGTCCCAGGCTGTTGCCATTGGAAAAGGATGCTACAAGGCATAAATAGCTAAACAGTGCTTAGCTTATGATCACTGAATGGATGCAATATTGTCACCTGGTTAAAATCAGCTTTAGAAAAAAGAAATATTCAATCTATGTAGAACAAACAATATAAAATATAATCAGACTTCTAGACCAGTGAAGAAAGATTAATGAGTGAAGAATGCTAGCAAGCATATAAAATGTCCTCAAACAAATATTTTGGTCACATGCCAAAAATTTTTCCCCTGTGGCCTACAGAAATCAGAACTGACCAGCTCAGGTGGATATAGAGTTTTTATATGAAATGTGGTTTAAAATCAGCTGGGAATTAAAATTCAAATAACATGCTCCCCTTTCCTGTGCCCCCTCTGGTGAGAGACAGAGACTATGGGTTGAGAAAAAAAATTACTGAAAACAAACGTTAATGGGATGAGAAATGAACAGTAACAACAATATTAATAACAAAAGGACATGAAAGAAAGGGTGATTTACACATTAACAAGGTGCTCACCACCTTGACTTTTTCCACGTGGCCACTGAGACAAAGAAAAATGATGGATGATATTTTAGGGTCTACAAGTTGTTTCCAGCTCAGAAGCTAACCAACTATAGGAATCGTTTGACCTCCTTTGGCCTTGATTCAAAGCACCTTTCTCTGTATTTCCCTAAATTTGTGATATCAAAATAGCTGTCTTCACAAGGAACTGACTTAGAAACCTCAGCTGTTAGTAGGAAAATATAAAGCAATAATAGTCATTCAAGACTGACAGGAGCTATCACCAAAGAAAAATTACTGAGTTTTTAAAAACAAATCCAAATGTACATGAAATAAAAGGACTAAGGTGAGTCCTTATACCCCTATCAGATTGGGGAAAATAGATGAAGCTTTGGGAGTGATTATCAGTGAGTTGGTGTCCAGAGTGAGATGAAGGGGAGAGATTAGGAGGAGATCTTTGCCATGGAAGGTCTACTGTGTCTAAGCCTTTCCCTTTCCTTTTGAGCTCCTGGAGAGTCCAGCCTGCCTTGAATTTCTGTGATGTCTGAGGTAGCAGCAGCACAGGATGGGAAGGAAGCTGAATAACTTAATCCAGTTTTTAGGTGGCTGAGGTTGAGTGAGATGTACCACAGGGGAAGTAAGTGCTTATAGAAGCTGTCTAGGATGTTTTTACATTCAGTGGTGGAAAAACAGATTAAGACTTTTGTGATGACAAGATACAGGAAAAACCTGGTAGATGTATTATTACTTTAGACACTAATCTTTGAGAATACCTACAAAATAATTGTAAAGTAATTGTAATAATACTTTGAATTCATAAGTGATATAAGTAAATTATCATTTGCAGCCAATGAAATGAAGTTCATAAGGAGTCCTCACTATTAATAATTCAGGATTTTTTTGACACTTTTAAGTCCAATTTACTGAATCAGTATATAAAAAATTCCTTTTCCAGCTTTCAAGCTACTAAAATATTTGTCAAAGACATTCTGTTTAAAGTCTTTTCAGAGTAATTTGTAATGACAGAGACTGATTTACTTACAACAGTGTCAGAAGTCTTCATGTCTATATATATTACTATGGATAAGCTTGTATTCTTTTAAGCTTTAATCTAATAACTTTTGTAGTATCCATTTGGTCAGATATATGTATGCAGATTTTATTGTCTCTCTACAAACCAAACTTATTTGAACCCCCTATGTGGAGAATAACCTACATTGTAAACTTTAATATTATGAAAGTATTATCTAAACAATAATTAAAATGTATGAGGAATTAAGAGCTTTTGATAAAATTTTCCAGTTTCTGCTATTTTAAAATTTTCTGAAACACTGATATTTTCTAATTGTATTTATTAATTTTTGCTCTTCATGCCATATATCTATCTGCCTTTTCTGGCACACATCTTGTTGAGTCTTATACATATTTCTGATTAATGTTGTTTCCTGTGGGTACAGTGTTTCTGATGTATTCTAGTGTTATACTGATGTAACTAATCTCTCTGTATGCATGTTTTATCATTCTGTACATATTAGAGTTAAATGTTACTGTTCCTGAACTCCATGTATGAGACAGAAGGCTGGTACAGGATCATGTATGAAGAATTTTTCCAAACAAATATGAAAACAACCAAATAATTTTTTTCAAATGTGTAACATCTTCTTTGTTTTGGTTTGGTTTTTTGTTTGGTTTTTTTAAAAAAATAATTCTCTCTTTTTCTTTTTAAGACATAGGCTTACCAGTTTTGGTGGAAAAATGTTACAGATTTTACCTATAGCTACTGGGTTTTTTTCATATAAATTCTATTCTATTTGTTTGTAATCTGGATCAAGGGTGAAATGCCTTCTTTTCCAGAATGTAAAATCACATAAACTCCTTGAACTTCGGCTCCTTAAAGAGCATATACTAGATCTGACTTTCAAGCATAAAATGTACACTCTCTTTTAAAAAAAAAATTACCCTCATCTGACTGGGTGACCCCTTATAATTAAGAATGAGTGTTAAAACAACCAGATTTCCAATGCAGATTTTGAAAGTAAAGCTAGGGGTGTAATGACAATACCTGTGAGAAAAAATGTGGTAGAAAAATTACGTGAATTGAAGACTAAGACTATCCTCAGTAATATGCAGTTTCTTCTCAGTGCTATCATAATAAAAAACCTTCATCAGGATGTATAAATTCAAAATAAAACTGAAACTTTTTCTTTTGGCTTAATTGATAAACAAAATATATTTTTCCAGTCACAGCAAAGAGTCTGAAGCTGCAATATGCTATCAAGTGATCTGTATATTTTTTTTTAACTTGAGACATCTAAATGCTTAGATTTATTATATATGCATAGGCTTAATTTCCTTGGCTTTTGTACAACAAAACAAAACCCACAACACTCTGAATGCATATGAGTGAGAATGAAACAGAAAGCAAATCTTTTGTCTGTTATTTCACCAGTTGTTAATTCACCAGTTCTGAAAGTCTCTCTTTACCAAGCTACAGAAAAAGTCATCTGTAGGAATAACTCTTCAAAGCATTCATATAAAAAAGCAGCATTCCTTTCACCAGAGAATAAGTCTTCCTTATATTCCCTTGGGCAGGTCATGAACAGCTGAATATTTATTTGTCATCTGTCACCATACTTGCACTCTTCAGCCAATAATATGAGTTATAGCTAGTAATCAAATTTTGAAAGATAAAGATAATGGAGAATTCTATTGGGAAAACCATGCCACAATTTAATAAATTTCATCATCAAAAACTACAGCTTATAACTTATCCTTCATTAATTTCATGTTACTCATTATTGTGATCTCTTATATAGTAATTTTTTTGATAGAATGCTTACTTCCTTCAAATAAGAAGACAATTCTAAAAAACCTTTTTCTACACATTTTTCAGCAAACTTAAAGGAAGTGTGAAGTTACTAAGTAAATTCAGTGGTTCTTTTCTCACATGTGGAAATAAATTGACAAGGCTGGATTAGATTGAATACCAGGAACCTTATAAAGTGTGGTCCAGTAACAGCTAGGAATGACATCTTGTTTCAGAGAAAAACATGCCCTTTCTCTGCTATGTAAACATGATCTAAGGCTTTCTCAGCCAAAGACCATTTAAGATCCACTGCAGGTCATTATTCTTTTTCACACAGAAATTACTGACAATGATCTACACAAGTTACAAAAACTGTGCTAGTGGCATGCACTACTTATAAAAAATTATTTATTGTTAAAATACCTCACAGTAAGGAGAGAATATTATAAACACAATGGTTTAGTGTTCAAGGCTATTTTCCCACATAAATGGACAAAATCTCTGGATTGAGAATGGATCAGACACTGTTATCCTTTTTGTACTAAATACAACCTGAAAGCACAAAGAATTCCCTTAAAACCACTGTGACCATCTGTGGAATAAGGATTTGTTTAGGGTATAACCCACATAAATCTATAGACCTAATCCTAAACATGAAGTTTTCACTATTGTCAACAACCAGCAGTGTATAGTTCTCTCTTTCTCTAGTCCTCTCTGTGGAGAAAAAATATTAATATGTAAAATATTTTCTCAAATATAAGTGATTTTACCACATCTGTTTAAAAGCCATAGGAGTAAAAGGTTAGAGTCATCAACACAATGTTTTCATTTGTCCATCTTTTAAAACTCATTTGTAGCTGCTCATTCACACTGGCATCCTACCATGAGACTGACAAGAATAATTTGTTTTTCTTATGAAGCAGGTGCTGTTTCATCTGTACCTGGTCAGATGGTCACTCTGCCCCCTTGCCCCCCTACCCATAATTTTCCAGCTATGAATATAATGAATAATATTTCCATCCTTACCAGGCCTCACACTGGAAATTTCTTCTGATTTTCAAACACCTCCATCTTTTATTTTTAGGTACCAGGAATTTAAACTTTGCACTGGTACTTTTCCACTTAGCCTACATACCTTGGTTTTCTTCAGTCATGAGCATCTGTAGTAAACATTGCAGAATTTGTTTGTTGGGGCTGGTTTATTTGTTTGTTTCTTCTTTACAAAAGCTTTCCTGACTGTAATTCAGTTGCACTTACCTAAAATCTTACTTAGAAAAAGAGGGAAAAAAAAGAAAAACAGAAAGAAATATGTTGCATAATTTGGTTTGTCATGATGCCAGCTTTTAGATGATTGAATCAGTTGATTGCAGGATATAACTTCTGTAAAATGAGTACTTAATGAAAGAGATGTGAATAAAATACAGGAGTGTTGTTTTTTTCCAGATAGACCATTTTGAAAACATTTGATGACCTCTGTTCCAAAACAGCTGATGGGTAGTGGTATACATAAAGAAGTATTCTGAAGTAGGCTTATATTTGTTATGGAATGTTTGCAAAAAAATACAGTGTGAAATTAATTTTGAAATCTTACTTGAGTCTTGCAGAATGATTCAGGATCATTTTCAAAGTGGATTAACATTTGAAGCATTTTATTATCTTATTATCTAATGTCATACATAAAGTTTTATAACCATCAGTTTAGCATTTTAAAGATTCTTAATATTGTTATAATAAAACTGACTACTGCAGCTAATTTTATTTTCCATAATAAAAAAATAAATCTATGATGGTAAATCAGTCATCCTTTAAACTCTTAATAAAAGGAAAAATGCCTCTATCTGGACATCATTTTATTCTAAGTGCAGCAATATATAATGTGGTCAATTGCAGTATTTAAGTTAAATATTGATTCTTTTTCCTATCTTATATGCCAAATTAAGTATTGGTTTACACATTTTCCAATAGCTTCATTAAAAACTAAAATGGCAGCAAATACTTGCTGATGTTGTAATGGGTTTTAATTTTTATACTGAAAGGAAAAGACATTTGTTTTAGTTTTATCATCCTAAGAACAATAAATAGATGATTTTGTGAGCGCTCCCGAAAATAGTATTAGAATACCTAGGGTCTACTTTTTCACACAATTATATTTTTATAATAAAGCCTTATACAAATATGCATGTTTAACTTTGGTTAATGTATGTATTCAATTGCAACAGCCAAAGTCCGTCAGCTTTGGAAAACATTTAAAGCTTATGGATGACAGAATGTTTACAACATCCATTTATGGCTTTGGCTCCTCCTTTTGTACAAGCAAGATCCAGATTTTCAGTATCCAGAAGAGGATCTGGATATCCAAAGCAGCACAGTTTGCATTTAAGCACTTGTATTGCCACAAGGTTTTCAAACTATAACCTCCATCCCTTCATGTGGTAGCACCTCTGCTGTGTTTTATCCTTTCAAGAGGTTTCCACATCCTAAACTTACCATATTAAAACCCTTGGCTCTTATTTCCATTTTTAATGTGGGATGAGCTCCTTTCTAAAGATCCACAGTTGCTTTTGGTTGCTGAGACTTAGGAAAACAAAAGAGCAATTCCAAGAGTGCCTAATCCCCCAGAGTTTTATGGGAAGAGTACATGCCTGCAAGCTGTTTAAAGTGAGGTCCCCACTCTGCAAGGTAGTCATAGCTCTGATCCATGTCTGATGTGTTTGAACCCAATGAGCTGAGGGATCCTGCCAAGGAGCCGGTCCCCTCAAATGCATAGGTCTGAAGTGAGTCATAGGGAGGAACGCTAGGATCTGTATTTGCTTCTTCAAGCTTTTCTGAAATGAATTGCCTGAAGATTGCACTGTCTGGGCCAACCTGCAGAGACTGTCTGTAGAGGCTCTGGATTTCGGAGGCCACCTTCTTCCGAGGTTTGTGTGTTCGCATGACAGTACGTGTCCTCAGTGCTGAAATATCAAAGGCTTCTGTGTCCTCCTCGCCCCCTCCTTCATCGTCATAACTGACAATGTTCTCTCTGAATTCTTCCATCTTCTCTGAAAAGGGAGGTTTCTTCTCCTGTTGCTGCTGTCTTATGGCTACAATTGCCAAAAAGAACACTAGCAAAATAAAAAGAGAAGGGACAAGGGAAAATTAAACCAAACTAGAGACTTTGAATGTGCTTGGAAAGATTAAAAAAATTGCTTCTTATTTTAGTATCAGTGCTGTTGCAAAGTGAAGCTATCTTAACAAATTTATAGAGCTGTAATTTTTATGGATTTTATGGTTTTGAGATGAGCAATGGGTGTGTTGGGAAAATGGCTACAAAGGGACTTATAAAAAAGGCAAATTAAATGGAGCAGTTCTTTTGGTAGATGCAAATTTGAAACTGATGGAAGCACAGGTTATGCTTTTTGAAAGTGCTTTTTTATCACATAATATATCCATTTTGCATTCTGAATTTAAATTCTTAATCTCTATCAGTCTCTCTGATAAAAGCCCCATCAAGATCAAGTGAAAAATGGGACAATGAGCAAGATATCCTGAGCTAGTTGAATCATTCAGCTCTACAGACTATGCAGAATGGTGTTCAACTATTTGTGTTGTGCTGGTTTTCAAATTTGAAGACTCACTAAATTCTGTGACATTTTATTGTCAAGGCCTATGAATCAGATGATCTTATTTCTTTCATATGTGATAAGTTTGTTATTTTTTTCTTTTAAAACATTATTTTTTAATCCCACATAATTTCATTTTAACTGAACAATCCCATTGAATTACTCTATGACTTTCAGAGAGATTAATTCATTCAGTTTTAACTATATCTTGCTGCAGTTCTACTTAATAAGTATCTTGTGGACTGAATTTTTTTACTCAGAACTTAAAATGATACAACTACCAAGAATTACAACATTTTACTTAAGAATATGAGGACAGCTGAAGTAGTTCTTTTTTCTACTTATTTAAAAGAAACTGTTCCATTTGCTTGGGAGATACCAACATAAGTCTTGAAAGCACTGAAAACAAGAATTTCTACTATGTATTCACAAGACAGGTGGTTTTAACTTTCCAAACACTTTACCTGGTGAACCCTTCTGATGGTTTACTTCCTACTTGAAAACTAGTTTTCAGAGATAAATGGCAAGTTTATTATATATAGAACATTTCATTATTTAATTTTAAATAACTACAAAAATGCATTCAAAGAATTAAGAATAAAAAATTAGTGTTTGTAAAAATTGTAGTAGATTAGGTTTTTTTCTTCTTTTGGACTAATATATTTATCTATATCTCTGCTTTGGCTTTTGTGATATTAATAGGCCCAGTAGACATCACGGGTTTATTCCACCTGGAGAGAGAACATTTCTACAAGAACCCAAGAAATCACTGATGAGTAATTCCTCTGATCAGTACAGACTTTGGGCTCTGAAATCTTTATTATTGCAATGCCAGGAAAATAAAGAGGACCATGACTCAACTACACACAACTTTTAGGAAATTGTGTTAGAATTCACATTTTACTGAAAACTGGGGAAAAGAAGGGAGAAATTCTAGTTAAGAAAAAAGGAAAGAAATAAAAAATTTGCCTTATTTCAATTTTTCCCCGTGGCTCAATATTCCTAGTCGTCGAGTCAAGTGTCCATCATTTTTACTTAACCAACCCCTCTGTAAAAGGGATTGTACTTGTACTTACCTAAGAATATTAATATGCAAGCCAAAACAGCAACTAAAGCCTCTGTGCTCAGACCCAAGGAATACATGAAAGCTCCGTATCTACAGTAGAAGGTGTTAACTTCAGTGTCGCAGTCGCAGAGAGTGACAGTGAGAGTATTTGTGCTCGTCAGAGGTGGGGTTCCATTATCCTCAATTAAGATTGGCAAGTAGAAAAAAAACTGCTCTTGCCTCCTGAAGCCACTTTTTCCTGTGAAAATTCCAGCTGTGTTATCTAGAAGATAAATTATTGTGATGATATGCATTTATATATTCTGTAACCACGACAATAATATTTGGTGGAATCTGACATATTTAAAAACAACAGTACTCTCAAAGCTATGTATTAAGAAAGTTAAAAAAGTTAAAGCAGGAACTGACATTTGGTGCATACTTTATCAATCATGAATAAATTGCATTTATTTTTGATATATGTACTCCAGGGAAAATAAAAGAATTTGACCAGTGAGTGCTGGTATTAATGTTCAGAGCTAAAGAGACTGACATCTTTTTCAGTATCTGATACCTGCTCAGACTAATTAATTGGTTCTTAAAATGGTTCCATTTATCCAGCTGCTACCAAGCCAGAAGTTCACAGATAAAATATAGACAGTTTGCCAATCAAAAAGGTTAAAAAGTGTGTCTAGCAGCACATAGTGAAAACAGGTGGCAAGGGAAAGAAGAGAAAGAAAGAAAAAAGTCCACTAAAATAATCTTTTATTTCTTTCCCTGGCACAAAAATGAGCTAGCTGGACTTCTACCACCTAAAATAGCAAAAAGATTTAGATGCTTTCACTTTGCTTTGTATTTAACTATTGGTATTTAGAAATCTGTTCTGTAAAAAAACACAGTAAACAGCTTAAATTCAGGTCCTGCTGCATATCAATCAATTCAAATTAGCTTGCTGCAAAATAAAATAGTCCTGCCTACATGAATGTGTAATGAAAAGGAGAAAAAATAATATAGAAATATTTCCATGTCAGAATTATTTCTATTGGCAGAGTGAAAGACTGCATGTGTGCATATGTAAAAGTAGGGGAAAAAAAGGATTTCTACCATTATCTGTACAATACATCTGTACAGTCTACTGAAGTTAACTTCCTCACATGTAAGTTGTTCTAGGTTTCTATCATAATTCAGAAAGTAATTCTGAGATAAAATACTACAGATCTGCAGTCTCTTTTTCTCTTCCTTACGGCTATCACAATTCAACCAGCCATTTCTGTTGAATATGGCAGAAAGGGACAGCTTGAAATCTGATTGCATGATATTTCAAAAGGTTTTGTTTTCCCCATTAGAAGCCACCAAAAGGAACTCAATGGATTGCTTTGTGTGAGGGTCTGCTTGGGTTTTGGGCAGAAAGAGAAAAGGTGGGAAAGGCACATTGCTTGTGCACAATTTGACCTTAATATAATGACTTAGCTCTTTCTGGAAAGGAGTGAGAGGTTAATTAAGATGGGAATTGAATTTTTTATTGATACATAGGCTAACTTTGAAGATAATTGAGAAGCAGTTTGCCATTTAACGTATTTGGAACTTTCCAAAACTTATTTCCATTGATTTGTTCCCTTAGCCAGAACATTCAAATAATTAGCATGGTCAATAAGAACGATGTGTACTTTAGCTTAGTCTGAAGAAGCTTTTCTTTGTAGTCTCAGCAGACTGACTCTAAATGGTCACTTCCTGGAAATTCCATGAGATATCTCACCTATGTTTTCATCTCAGTCTGGTTTTGCTTGATATTATATATTATGAAATAAGATTTCTTTCCTAGTTATCTGTTTTTATAATGTTGGTCTTGGTGAATTAATGAAATAATATTCCTATATTTATATCAATCTTTATAATGATCTTATTTCTCTGGCAAATAATTTTAACAAGAATTTTGGAATTGACTTCCATATTCAACATTAAGAATATAATTTTTAAGGAATACTGGTATATTTTTCATCTTAGCTGTTTTTTCTTTCCTTTAAATAAAACTGCCTTTTGCTGTTTATATTATTCACTTAAAAAGGAAAATAAACTCTTTGATACTGTTGAATTATTATTTTGAAGTAGACCTCATGACATGTCCAATTCTTATAATGAAAATTTCTATTTAAATAGAAAGTTTTAAGCATCTAAGAACATGCTGGAAGTATGTATCTTCCATTAGGAAGGTCTTAAAGAACTACGTGACTGACGCTACCTTGATTGTCTTTGACAATAAAATGTGAGCTGTTTGCGTCCTCCTGAGCCAATGAGAAATAAAAATGGTGACCTTCTGCTGGGTCATCTTGATCCACTGCACTGATGTTTTGAATTAGCTGGAAAATAAGAGAACAGAGTTGCTTAAAAGTAAAAGAATTTCCTTGTTCTATAAAAAAATAACAAGGATATAACAAGTATGTTAAACTATTGATGTTGAAGACGTGATCCGTGAACCTGTATTGAGTGCATAATATGAAAATATTCAGCAAATACCCAAATAGGTTTATTGAGACTTATATTCTGCAAGTACTCTAATTTTTCATCCTTTTGAGACAGGCAGGCATTAAAAGCTTGAGAAAATGTAAAAGGTTATCCATATCAAATGACCAGGAGCAAATGACAGCTTCATAAATGAAAAAAACATATTTCAAGTACTTTGTTCTTTTTATTTTTTTAATCTAAGGTGAACAGTACATCATTGTACATTTGAAGAAATCCTTCTATGCAAAATCTATTCTATTCAAGTCCACAAACGCATTGGTATCATTCAACTGGTATATTATAGCTCCAGTAAGTAACATACGTTGACAAGTTCACATGCTGAATTTTTGATTCTGGATATTATAACAGATTGATTATGGAATTTTTTGGCTGCTTTTTCTTAAGAAAACAAAATAGCCTTCATTTAGAAATATGTCAAACCAGACAGGCATTGCAAGATAAAATAAAAAATAAAAAATAACATAAAATAAAATAAAAAATAACATTCAAAATAATATTTTTCATCTCTCTAAATAAACAACCACACAGTTAACATAATTAGCAATATTTCTTCTTAAAACATCTATATTTCTTATATTTATCAGTAAATATTTATTTACCAGCACATATTAATGAACATCCTTGGTGATCAGGAGAAAAGCAAACTGCTGGAAGTCCACCAATTTTCAGAAAAGAGAGGGTCAAATTTGAACTTGGGCTCTATATTATCAATTATCTCATGCCTTGTAGATAATTTATACACAAGAACTTGAAATTTCAACTTTCCTCAAACCACAGATCACCTGAATAATACAAGCAGTGCTTTAAGAGTGAAGCAGTAAGTCAATGGAAGTGGCTACTGCTGCTTTCATCTGTGCCTTTGAAAACTCTTTTCTCGTTAAATTCTTTCTCGGTCAAAGACCTAGAACTTCATTGCACATTCTTTTTCTTTTCAGGCAAGCAAAGTTTGATGAAATCATCACAGCAGAATTCAAAATGTGGCTTACACACCAAAAGATTTGTTTTCTTAACACAGTTCCCTCTTCACATGTGAAATTTATTTTAAATCTGTATTTTCACTCTATGGAAACATGTGGACCCTTGAATTTTTTGGTATTTTTTTTTGATTGCCATTAATGAAAGGCATAATTTTTCAGTGATTTCATAGTGTACAAAGGAGAGACATTCTAGAGGGATATTTGTTTTCTTCCCTCAGAACTAACAAATAGCTGAGGTGATGCAAATACAGGTATAAAAATGCAGGTCGAGAAATCAGTGAGGAGAAACTGACCACTCACATTTCCTTGATTACCACAAGCTTCATTTTTTTAAGGAAATGTAGTTTTCAGAATATTCTCTATATGAACAGCAACAGAATTTATAGATTTTATATCCAGTCTGAACTGCAAAGAAGGACACATAATATTTTGCCACCTACCTCAAAGATAACTAAAAAAAGACTATATGGGCTTTTCTTGAAAATTTGCTGGCTACATATTCACGGCCACAGATGAGAATAAATCTTGGTATGGGCATATGGATGCCCTTAAAATTCAAGCTCTATTAAAGTATACTAAATATGCAGAGTAATATAATGACCTACAAAATCATCTTAGCCACATTTAATTTGTTGTATTTTGTTCTGGTTTTAGTTCAGTTACTTGGTAGAGAAAAATCACCTACTTGCACACCACAACCACCAACAAAAAAGTGATTTTCATTCAACCAGACATCATCAATATCTTTTGAAAACATGTTTTTAGGAGTATATAATGTGTGAAATTCATAAAATTACTGCAGTTATGAATGAGATTTTGCTTTGCTATTTCATTATTGACTGCCATATTTTACCTACAGGACGTATTTGAGTCTGTACCTTTTATCTATATCTGATTCAATCAATGAAATTCTAAGGAGACTGTGGTTAACTGAAAAATATAACAAACCACCTGCCCTTGCTTTGACCTGTGCTGTCCTCTTCTGCAGAAACCTAAGATTCCTGTGGCTGTTCTAGGCATATTCACATGCCTTCAAGGATTCACTTTAGCAGCAGGGGAAAATTTGGAACGTAAGGTCAGGGCAATCCTTATTGTTTACCTCTCACTCAGTTTAGTCTACAAAATATTCAGAGAGCAATAAGTACCTCTGATTTTACTGACTCTGAAGGAAAAATCACTTAGAGTGAGGGAAATCCTTTTTTATTCCTGGTTTCCTAGTTTTTTGTACATCTAACCTGGGAGATTCTAGCCTTTTACCAGGGAAACTGGCATCACATACTCAAAAACTGCACTTACTTGTGTGTTAATGTTTACAAACCTTCTACATTTTAGTGTAAAAACAAAAAATATATTGAATGAATTATTGTTTTTGCAAAGTTCCGTCAGTTGTTTTGTTGACGTGGCTGAAATTTAATTGCTTTAAAAATTCTTATTTCTAGTCTCGTTATTATAGGAGCTTTAAAGATCCCACAGTTCATTTAAAAATGGGCATTTCTTTAAAACAGAGATTAATTCACTTGATTATTTTTGAAAAACTGAATTAAGTTTATGATGACTTTTGAGGACTTAAAGAATGCAGTGGAATATCTCAATGTGTTATCAAAGAAGGAAGTTGCCATAAAATAATCCACTGCAAGCGTAGATGGGAAACAGGAAGAAGTTACAGGCCTAAGTGGAGGTGAAGGTTTGGAATCTGCACACCAGAAAAAATTCCACTGTGAGGACTTGTGATAAGTGTAGATGGCAACAATAGGAGGACACTGGGCCTGATAAATCAGATGAGAGTAATCTATCTGAACACAAATTCCCACCCTGGCAAACTGAAAAAGGAAGAAATTCCTTATACATATGCCATCCCAGGTTCTGGAAGTGGCACCTATATTCTATTTATCTTGTAAATTAAAAAAATGTGGATTATGAAGTAGCTGACTGACAGGTATTCTCTACAAAACTTCATTGGAAATTTATTTCCTCAACTACAAATAGTCTTCTTCGGTTGGAATTATAGAGAGGTCCAGAAGGAGGGGTCAAAGCTTCATTGTTACAGCCCTTTCTGCTTCTATGGGTTTTCAACTAAGTTAAACTTCAGGCATAAATTGCCCATCTGAACAACAACCAGTACTCTTCATTTTGATGCTAGAGAACTCAGAGTGTAGAATTTTGAGTCCTTTGTGTGTTAGTCCTACTAATGCCATTAGAGAGACGGAGGGAAGTAGAAACATATTTGCTACCTCTCTTTCCTCTTCAGTTTCTTTATTTTGTTTTCCGCAAAACATCCTTCAGTAGTTCCAATGTGGATTATAGGATGTGAGAGACCTAACCACACATTACTTTTGGGAGTACAGAACTGGTTTTGGTCAAATTGGCAGAAGCCATATAAGCAGTGAAATTTTTCTCAGTCACATAATATTTACTGATCACTAGAGTTTAGAGCAGGTAAAAGATTAAAGTGTTAATTACTACAGTCAGGACTGTATGTTCCAGGTAGACCTTTTACCTCAAGACCCAGGTTCTCCTGTTGACTGCTTCTGTTTTGAAAAGAAAATCGACACAGTATTGAACTGATTTATTTGGGTCTACTGTAAATGTTTCTGCTCAACTATAAATCAAATTTACTTATTTACAAAGAATTAACAATTACAAAGCTCATGCCATGACACTGAGGTGCTTTTTTATGTTTGCTCACATATGCTAATAAAGTTCTCCCACCTGTGCCATTCTGCTAAGAGATAATGTTGTGAAATCACGGTCCACATAAAACAGAAAAAGGAATTTTCCATGGGCCACTGTACCCACTGTTTCAAAACATCACACATTACACTCAGTGCATCCTCACGTATAGCTTAGTGTAGGAGTCTGTTACATTATACATTGCTTTCACAGCTTCATCGTGTTTTTACACTCTAAAGGATGCATTCATTATTGGTGGTTTTTTTAAACTTTTTATTTTCTTATCATTACTGCTGAGATGCTTTTTGTAAATGTTGAAGAAAACATGAAATATTAAATAATAAACACTGTCTTACCCTTCACTTTCATTTCTCTGCTAATAAAAATGATTTTGCATCATGATTTGTTAGAAAGGATCTCTTTTAGCAAACTACTTGTTTTGAACAGTAATCATATACTTGTAGAATTTGGTTAAAGATTTCCTCTCTTTCTTTCTGTCAACATTTCATTATGTAGAGAAGTAATAGCAAATGAGTACTTGTCACTTTCACTGTAACTGATTATTATTTTATTATGTGCCTAGTACTGAGTAAATAAATTTGTTGGGTTTTTTTCTTATCTCTAACTTAAAGTTCCTGCATACTCAATGACTTCTTTGAATCTAATAAAAATCTCTAAGCAAGCTGCAATAGCAGGCACTTCATATGTGACCCCCAAATTAAAGGAACTCAGAATTACCAGAATAAATATGCATTAGAGCTAACACCATTAATTCAGAATATAAGTGTGTTCAGTATAGCCTATCTTCAGCTGCAATCACCTTCCTTTCCAATAGGAAGAAAGATCAATACTCACAAAAGGGCTGAAATTACCATGCGTAGGTACGTTCTAGATGGTCTTATTGCTTACATATAATGTAAGGATTTTGATACGGTCAACAAAAACTTTTCATCTTGCAGACGAGTTAATGTATTGATATCTTGGGAATTAAGCTTTTTTGATATCCATTCTTGATGAGATGTCTCCAGTGTTACCTTTAGGGTGGATTTGGTCATCTTGGTGTTTTGACTATTTGTAACGAATATTTCCTTTGAAGTTCAAAGGTTCATACCTACTGTACACACCCATAAAAGGTAAATATAAAAAAAATAATAGAACAGTGTGGTCATCATTGACTGTGTTTCCACACAGTTATAAAATCAAAAGGTCCAATCAAAAGGAAATTACCCATTTGGATACTTATTAACATTGTTCTATTTTATCTGATGACAACTATAGCTGTAGTGGAATAGAAGGTTATTTAGTGGTGCAACTTTCATGTTCAATTCATTTGGAAAACAATTTATTTAATGGTGGTAGTGCAGTGAAAGTGTTTTTTCAATGTTTTAAAGAAAACTTTGCTTGTGGTGTAGTATAAAGCTGACTTTTGTATTATAGGACAGTACTAAATTATAACATTAAGTGAATAGTGAAAATTACTTTCAAAATGTCAAATAAACATGATGAATGCATTCAATATGATGCCAAAAACATCTGTCTCATCTATTTCTATCTATCTATCTATCTATCTATCTATCTATCTATCTATCTATCTATCTATCTATCTATCTTCTTTATATCCATTTTTATTGTCAAATTTGGATTATAGTCCCACAGACTGAAATCTAATCCTTTTGTTTGAATGACTTTTGGAGGCTAAACTAAACAAACTCTTACAAAAACACCATACAAGGGTTTGAAGGTCAGCACACAGTCAATAAAAACAGACCAAGAATTTTCATAACCTTTCAGAAAATCCAAAACTTCAAAGCAAGTTTTCTTGTCTAGACTAAAGCTATTATTAACTCTGAGTCTGGATAATTAGGACAAAAATTAGTTTTACTCAATATGTGTTTTATATTCTATATCACAAATCAGCATACCCTTAGACTATGTAAAAATAACTTAATTGTGACCTGAATCTAAATTATTTTTATAGTAGACCAGTCTTACACCAAGATAAAGTCTAGATTCAATAAGACAATTCATTTTTTAGTGGTATCTTTCCCTCTGCAATGTGTTTCCTTTCTTTTCCCCTAAACACTGTAAACTCATGCAAATATATTTTGGAATATCCCATGAAATTAGACACAACTCAGTTCAGATCAGGGAAAGAAGTGAATTGCAGAAGTGCACAGTATCTCTGAAAACATCTCTACCACAGCGATTCCATCCAAAAGGATGGATACACCTGCTTTAGAAACTGAAATGTAATAGTGTAGTTATACAATCTTTGATCTCAACTTAACATGTAAGCAGATTCCATAACTGTTTGAAATTGATTGTAGAAATATAGTTAAGATAAAAAGGTATGTAATGTCCTGATTAAGTCATTTAATTGCTTAAATTGATTCTTCTGAAATGTAGATTTCCTTACTCAGTGGACAACCAAGCCACCTATAAAATCACATTTGAATCTTTTAGTTTCTTGCTGAGAAGAATAAAGGATATTTTTTCTGTGAGTAAAAATTTAAAAAAATCATTAAAATATTAATAACACCAAAGAAGATACATCAGCTAACAATTCTGTTTAAATCATAAACACTGAATTAAATATCATAAACTCTGACTGTGATAATTATGCACTTCAGTAGCAGTTTCCTGTTGTTCTTCCTAATATAATTTGTTAATGAGAAAATTATTTAACATTAATGTCACATTCTCAACAGGCTAAACTAAAGATGCCTGTGACTCAGAAACCTATGACAATGAATAAAATGAAAAAAAAGCCCACCTAAAGTAACATTATGACTTTCTGTAAGGTGAGAAAAATATCCTGTTCATAAATATATATATATATATAAATCATATATTGCAATGTCAAAGAAGAAGTATTCAGTGTACTATGCTTAAAGAATTAATTATTATTGTTAACACTGCTATTCTTTACAGAACCATTTTATCCAGTGATTCTCAAAACCATTTATATATGTAATTGATACTCAAAAGTAACTATTGATAGGTTAGCATGTGGATATTATTTATTAATAGGCAACTATGGAATACGGAAAACCTTGAGAAATAAATCACCTGGGTTTTTATCTTGTAGGGAAGTCCAAAACATGGATAACAAATATCCACTTTATAAGCATCCATATTTAATTCATGGCATCCTGAAGCCAAGGATAAAGTGCAGTTGATTTAATGCCTGCACTTTTATCTGTCAATGAGCTATCCAAAGACCAATAGAAATGGCTTGCTCCAAATACCTCCTAAACAGAGGTAGCCTGAGCAGACAGGAAGATTTTCAAACACTGAATAAAGTAATTTCTGATAGAGAATTATATAAATGGATGCAAAAGGCTATAAAGAGATCACTTGAGCAACAGGAAAAATTTTATTTAACTGCAGACTAATCGAGGTCAAAGTAAACAAAAATGGTATAAAAAAAGAAGCTCTTTGATTCAGAAATCAACTTAACAAAATGTTTGAACAAAACCACCACAGATATCCCAAAGGTCTTTTTTTTATGTCCAAATAATGCTTTAGAGTGGTGGGAAAATATATAGATTTTTCTCTTCAGAGATTTTTTCGTTTGGTTGGGTTTTTTGGATGTTGTTGATTATTTTGTATCTTTTTCTTTAAAAAAGACCCATCCAAAACAACAACAACAACAACAACAACAAACAAAAACAAACCCAAACTAACTTTGAACATCCTGGAGTTTATTTTTACAGGAGGAAAATACAAAGACAGCAGTGTACCTGGGAATTGAGGCAGCTGACTGATGATACCCTATTCACGTGTATATTGAGTAGGAAATGGAAAACAACCTCCTGGGAAGGATGTTTAATATAACAATAGCTTAAGCTGCCAGCTAGGAAAGGTGTTGTAAGGGCTGTGTCTTGAACATTTTCAGACTTGCGCTGGGCTAGTGAGGGTTTGAATTCAGTTCTCAATAAATGTTTTCTAACTGAAGGACACAATGAATCTGGTTTGAAATTGGACTAAGCCTGGTTCTTATGCTATTGCTGAAGTTACCAGACATAGGTTTTTCATCAGAGGCCTTAACATGACACAGATTTGTACCCTATATTTTTTCAGAAGTTTCTGCCTGTACTTTATTATTTGTTTTTAAAAACAAACAAGACACACAGTTTTGTTTTAAAGGGGGAAAAAATATGCCTAAATTTCATACTATATATATGTCAACAGAACTAATTTTGGAAATAGAAAAAATGCAGTCTGTACTCACAGAACTGAAAGAATCAATGCTAAACATCTCAGACCAAATTTTCATGACAGCTAACTACTTCATGCTCACCTGTCCAGAAACTGCATTTTCACAAACAAATGTTTCATAATTTTTAGGGAATTCTGGTGCATTATCATTGACATCGAGAACTTGGATATACACGTTTGCTTCTGAAATTTTTTCAGGATTTCCTAATGGTTAAAAAAAGACAAAAATAAAAAAGTTAAAAATAATCTACTATGTATTTTAAAGTAATGTAAACATTTGAAGATTTTACCTATATTCTGAAAGGAAGAAAATAATCACAAAGACCTATAGACATATTTTGATACTATTATAATAATATAGTACCATTATAATACTCTGTCTTGAATAAGATATCTCATGTAAAATTTTGGATTTTTCATGCTTTTCTTTGTCCAATCAGAAACTGATTTAAATGCAAAAAATAAAATCTGATCAGGAAAAATTTAAGAATATTTTGTTCTTGAAGAAAAATTTAATGTACTAGCCATATCTAAGGTTATGCGGTAGGAGAGCGTCAACTCTTCTAAGGGTATCTGGTCAAGGACCTTGTCAAGGACAGGAATTAATAAGATAAAGAGGAAGCCATAAACAAGAACATACTGGAACAAAAACCTGAGGGACAAATGATAAAGAGAGGGGATGATACCTGGTCAGATATACTAATTGATGTGGGCACCTGGAAGCATGAGGATGTTTTTCCATTAGATCAGTGGCCTTGACAATTGATAAGCCAATGGAGAAAAAGGGGAAAACAAACACAAAGCATACCAAGACACAGACCTGTGTACCAAAACACAGAGACTCTGACAAGAAACAAACCTAATGGTAATCAATGGGCTATCCAGAAGCCACAAGACAACAATTCCAGCTAGGTCAACTTGGACCTTGTAACTTACAAGACTTTAAATGAAAGGGACCTCAGGTTTGGGGGAATGGGGACTCAGTGGAGATGTATTGCACCCATGGGAAATACGCAGAGAGGAACAAAGAGAGCTCAGCTAGAAAAGGGCATATAAGGGCCTGGTTGTGTGCAAAACAGGGCCAGTCAGTGCATTTGTCTGGCTGAGCTTTGCACCTGGATCACCAGTTTGTCCTATCAACTTATATTTTCTTAGTAATTGTTTTCTTAGCCATGTCTCTGCATAATCTCACTCTCACTGTGTATCTGTGTGCTGCAAGAATAAAGTGGCAGCTAGTGGTGTGACCTGCATATATATGAATGAAAATTTGTTCCAGACACTGGAGTGGGATGGGGTTCTTGTGATCCCAGTTACTGACTCATGCGCACAGGGGACAATTGTCAGTGTTCTCCTCAGACTTGGCATGCATGGGGTTTGTGTATGCTTTTGCTGACACTTTAAACTGGACTCAACAGTGATTAGGGGTCCTTGGGTCCGGGAGAGGTGCCTGGGAGGTCTATGCTTAGAGGGAACTTGCAAATGTGGGGTGCATGAGGGATTAGGGTGTGAGTTCTGTGGGTCTGCCAGCAAGCATCAAGTGTACACTAGCTGGTGGTTGGGGACCCATGAATTAGATCAGAGGACTTGGTATACTAGAAGGGGTTTTGGGCACACAGAAGTAGGTGCTGGAAGGATCTATGATTCTGTGTGTGCTTGTGAAGCTGGAGAGCATTGTGCATGTGTGTGTATATGTCTGCACCAGTGATCTGCCTTCCCAGAAGAAGAGGGGATGGGCTGCCTGTGCCTGAATTCAATGGGAATCCCATATGTAGGTGCTGCTGAAGGCAAAGTATGCGTCAATCCAAGGGACTGACCCCATCAGTGGGATCATTTGATCATTGTCCCACATTCCAATGTGGGAACATTGTGAGTCTCTGGGACTCTGTGCTCAGCTGCACTACTGGCTGAGCCTGCAAACAGCTCAGCAGCATTCCTGAACCTGGGCATGGGTCTTTGATCCCCAGGCCCTAGGCAGGGCTCCAGTGGCTGAGCAGGAGAGTCACACTGGGATGACTGAAAGAGCTGGCTGCACTATCTTAGGTCACTTAACATCATGGTTACCATAATGACTGGTCACACTCATTCCTTTAAAAAATTCTGTTACTCCTCCTCTTCTTAAATATTTTTAAATTCTGAAACTTTGAGAGAAAAAATTTTAAAAAATTGCATTTTAAAAATATTTCTGCCACTTATAGATATGGAGAAATCACAGTGAATACTGACACCCTAACCAAGGCAGAAAGCTCAGACTCAATTTGGAAAAACAGAGCTCTTCTACCCACTGGTCTGCAAATGTATACTTACAAAGAACTATGATTTTTCTCAGACATATCTAAGGAATTACTGCTTGCAGGCTTCATAGACTGAGTGTTTAGTTTTGATACAAGCATTGTTGTTCCAAGAATTATCTACACTACAGGTTTAATTTTTAGGCTTAGTACTCACAGAAGATGTACTGTTTCTGTTACCCAAGTATACGTTACTGCTGTGGCTTTAGATATAAAAGATATATGGATATATGTCAGTTCAGCTTGTTCCTGAATGTAAAGGAAAATTAATAATATAAGGCATTTCTCCTGCATTTACTGCCTTTACACAAGGTTCTACTGTTAAAACTACCTCAGACAAGGAAAAGTAATGAATAGTAGTATCACGGTACAAAAGTTGAATGTAGACTGGGCTGGGAAAACTAATTTTTTATGACATTAAAAAGTTTACAAACATGTTATATGAAAAAAAATCCATGAATACAGCAAGTACAGCATTCTTCTGGAGAAACTGGCAACTCATGGCTTGGAAAGGTGTACTGTTCACTGGGATAAAACTGGCTGGATATCCAAGCTCAAAGAGCTGTGCTGACTGGAGTTGAGTTCAGCTGGTGGCCTGTAACAAGTGGTGTTTCCAGGGGTCAATATTGGGGCTAGTTCTGTTTAATATCTTGATCAATGAATTGCATGAGGGGACTGAGTACACCCTCAATCAGTTTGCACATGACACCAAGCTGGGCAGGAGTGTTGACCTGTTGGAGGGAAGGAAGGCTATGCAGAGGGATTTAGACAGGCTGGATATATGGATTAAGGTCAATTGTATGAGTTTCAACAAGGTCAAGTGCCAGGTCACTCTTAGATCACAACAACCCAAAGCAGAGTTGCTGGCTTCAGGAAAAGTGGCTGGAAACCTGCCCAGAGGAAAACAACCTGGGTCTGCAGGTTGACAGCAGCTGAATATGAGCCATCTTATGCCCAGGTGGATAAGGATCAGCTGAGGGAGCTGAGGTTGTTTAGCCTGGAAAAGAGGAGGCTCAAGTGAGACCTCATCACTGTCTGCAATTACCCGAAAGGAGCTTGGAGGCGGTTGGGGGTTGGTCTGTTTTCTCAAGTAAGAAGTGATGAGTGGCCTCAAGATGCACCAGTGGAAGTTTAGGCTGGATATTAGGAAAATGTTCTTGGAGAAGGTTGTCTAGCTTTGGAATAGGATGCCCAGGGAAGTGGTTGAGTCACTATATCCTTGAAGGTATCTACAGTGCCAGATACAGATCTGACTATGTACATGGTTTAGTGGTGGACTTAGTGGTTCATGGTTGGATTCAATGACCTTATCAGTTCCTTCCAAACCAAACTATTCTTTAATTCTTTGATTTTATATTGGATATCTCTTGGAAGTCCTTTACCTATCAGCACATTGAATCCTGACTTTCACACCATAGCTTTAAGAAGTGTCCACTTACCCACAATGTGATTTATTATTGTTGGAGGCAAAATGTTCCTTTGCAATAACAATGCTCACATCGACATGGATGTGTTGTTGGGTAATGAAGATGTTTTTCCAGTGATTAAAATAATCTTAATATATTCCAGAAATACCCATCATTTGTCAATCTAAATATCTGTCAATATATCAGTCACCTATATCAGGAGTATGTCAATAATTATAGTTATAATATATATCATGTTCAGCACTAGTGTCACTGCAACCAACCTGTTCAGAAGTTCTTAAGGCATTGCTTTAAATTAGTCAAATAGACCTTTAAGAAAAAAGAAAAATATACTCCTCTCTGCCCCTTTTCAAACAACATCAGTTTAGTTGGTTCTCACATTACTTTTTTCAATATATAATACACTAGTTGCTTGGAGGGAACATTTGTTTCCTTGGATCTTATGGAATCAATGCTGACAGCTTTGAGTCTTTTGCTGAAGGAAATGGCAGCAAAAAGCAAGTACCACAGAGATAAAGGCATAGATACTCAGCAGTTTCACATTTCTATTCCTCTCGTGAAGTCATTACAGCTGTGCTAATTTTCCAAACCTTGTGATCTGTCAGACTCATTTCAAAAATACTTCTTTGTGGGATGAAATTTCTTTTGTTGAATCAAACATCCATAATAATACAATAGGCAATGAAATAGTGCCCAAATTCTGTTAGATAAACATAAAAAGTAGAATAGATCCCTTTTCTAGTTTTGCCTAATCTTACCTTGCTTGTTTATAAGATTCAGGGGTACTATATTGGCTTTAAAGTTTACCCTTTGCTTTCATAAAATATTTAGATGGCAAATTTTTGGAATCACATCTGTGTTCTTTCACCAAAAGGTCAGAGTTTAGTTGGTTTGGTTTTTGAGTTGTTTTTTTTTTTTAGGTGGGGAGAGGACAGGGGAGGATTTTGTAATAGTCTTGTTTCTAATGCTTTAATATATTTGGGTTGTAGTGTCATAGCTGCCTTAGTGGGATTATTTTTTTCCCTTAGTATAGGGTTAAATGATAAGGAAAAGCATTTCTCTCTCTTCTGCATGGATAGAAGAATATAAAAACATGAAAATTCTTAATTTTTCTGAAATCACAGCTGTTTTGTTTTGGGAGGGAGCAACATATTACAAAGCTACTCTTGAAATCAGTGTCTGGTGAATACTTAATGACAGTTTTGGTGAAGCAGAGGTACTGCATTGATTGCATTTTGAAGACAAAGTAGGCAACACATATTTTCTTTCATCCCTTACACAGGAAAATTGTCAGAATGTAAATTCAGCTAATGTATAATCCTACATTATCTAAGTATCTCCCTATTAGCATAAAGTTTCTTTGTCACAATCTCCACGAGGACCTGAGAAACATGGACTAAGAGAACAGGATGTGAAGGGCAACAGGCATGATTAGTGTGAAAATTAAGATGATGCTTTAATTGCTAGGGACCCGTATTAGTAACTTGAAAAGAAAAGCAATGACCATCTCTAGACACAAAACAGAACACAGTATTTGCAGGGGATTAATTTGTAATGATAACAGTAACACTAGTAATACTAACTAACAATAAAACTGATCACAGAATCACAGATAACTGAGGTTTGAAAAGACTTCTCAGTCTTCACAGTCTTAATCAAGTCAAAATGTTAAACTAACTCTGCTGTGCTTACCAGTAAACCATGACTCCAGGTATTGCATGCACAAGTTTTTCAACATTTTCAGGGAAGGTGATTCATTTACTTCCCTGGGAAACTTTTTCCAATGCTACCCAACCCTTTTCAGGGAAAAAAAAAAATTTCCTAGTATCTAATTAAACTTCCTCTGGCGCAACTTGAGGCCTTTTCCTCTCATCCTCTTACTTGTTACATGGCAGAAAAACTCACCCCCACTTCCCTGAAACTTTCATTCAGGTAGTCGTAGAGAAGGTTCTCCCATCAGCCTCCTTTACTCCAAACAACCCCAACTCCCTGACCTGCTCCTCCTTTGGACTTTTGTCCCAAAGCCTTCACACTCTCTGTTGTCCTTCCCTGGATATGCTCCAGCACCTTCTGGAAGTGAGTGGCACAAAATCGAACACAGGACTCAAGGTTTGGCCTCTCCAGTGCTGAACACAGGGGGAAAATCACTGTCCTGGTCATGCTGGCCACACTATTTCTGATCCAGGCTGGTACCACCAGGTTTCTTGCACACTGGGACACAAGTTGGCTCATGTTCAGCCTCTGTTGACCAGCACCCCCAAGTTCTTTTCTGCCAGGAAGCTTTCCACTCTGCCCCCAGCCTGTAGTGCTAGGTAGGGTTGCTGTGATTGAAATGAAGGACCTGGAACTTGGCCTTGTTGAATCTCATTACAACTGGCCTTGGCCCATCATTCCAGGAACTGCCCACATGTCTCTGCAGAGCTTTTATACCCTTCAACAGAATAACCTCCCACAGCCCAGCTTGGTGCCATAGGTAAATTGACTGAGAGTGGACACGATCCAATCATCAGATCATTGGTAAAACATATTGAACAGAACTAACCCCAGTAATGATCTAAGGGGAAAACCAGTAATGACTGTCTGCCATTTGAATAATGATTTAAGAATTTCTTATTCTCACATAGGATTAGAATGCTGTTGTTTGTGCTTCAGTCTTGTACTTGGTGAAAGTTTCTTACAACCAAGTAAAAGCTCATCAAAGGAAACTTGTTTTTGTTCTTGGGTGTGCTGGATTCAAATCAACTGACATTTGGTGAGGAGGGAAGAAGCCACCCATGGAAACGATTTTTCTGACAGAAGCTGCTAAGAGCTTCCTCTGTGTCTGGCAAAAACCAATAGTTGTCTAGCTCTGAGAATTGACAACCTATTAAACCATTTAGAAGCTGAGTCGGCCTCTGTGAGATTCACATTTTAAAGACAGGCAAACCTGGAACATATCTTGCTCTGGAACTCTCTTGCATCTAGCTTTGAAGGGGTAACTGGGCTCCTGTCGGGCCGGCCCTGCTCTGCTGCAGCCCACACAGCCTAGTGGGGCCAGGCCAGACCCCAGCAGCTCCTGGGCGAGGAACAGGAGGCCTCCAGCCGAGACTGAGCTGGGCCCTGGCTGTTAACATCTTGCTGAAATTAACTGCCCTGCTGCTAGCCCATGCTCAGCCAGGGTCTGCCAGGCCCCAGGAACAGCTACAGTCCAGGCCAGGTGCCCTCTGCCATGGCCCGTGTGGCCCCAGCAACTGCTGGGCAGAGGGAGGGTAAGCCACTGGCCTGCAGCTGAAATTGAAGGAAGCAAGGGGCCAGAAACCCACCATGAGGCCAGAGCAGCCACCATTGTTCTGGCCGGGTCCCTTGAGATCTTGGCACAACTCCCGTATTGCCCAGAAGAACTTTCACGGTAAGCAGCTTCGGCCTCAGCCCAGCAGAGATCATATGACTACCTGCAGGCCTGGGCAATATATTAACTCTTTCACTGCACAGATAAAACTGCAAAGCATTGATCCTCTCTCAAGTGGGAGAAAAGGACAGAATGAAGACACGTAGAGGACAACATGAAGACACCAAGGTCAGTAAAGAAGAAGTCAAGTCCCAGATGAAAGGAGAATGAGAAGATGCCTTAATATTAGGCTAGAATTCTTCTGGAAAGGCCATGGAGATGGACTATGATACCCTAGAATATCCCCTTTAATTAATGAGAAAATGTTGGGGGGATATAATGTTCAAACTGTAGACATGAGCAGAGGCATCTGTAATAAAGCAAGGCAAATGTTGAAGTGGCTGTGATCCCAGCATGGGAAGCTTGAACAGAGAGAGAGATGAGAGTGATGGAGACCATTTGCCCCAGGGGAAGAAGAAAAAGATCTCTGTTCTCAGAGATGAAGATGATCTCAGAGATAGATGAAGAGAACCTTTGTTTTTGAACAGCTCATTCTTAAAATAACCCATTAGTTGACATGGCCCATGAACTCATCTGTGGGAAAGCTGTGAAAATGGGAGGAAACTTCACGATTATAGATTTTCTGGGCAGCTGTTATTCATGGAAATTAAAAAGCCACAATAACTTCTTCTTGTAGAGAAGTCTCCATGACATAGCAAGAGAAACTCTTCTCCCTACAAGAATTGATGAAAGTCTACTGTATAGGTGGTAACTGATTAAAAATCACAGGTTTTGTATCCACGTAGTTGTAGGAAAGAAAAGAGGTTGTGGAGAGGGGAGAAGTTTCCTGAAGGTTTTATTCTGATTCTTATTATTCTTTTAGTCTGTTAATAATTTTTTTTATACCTTTTAAGTTTTGAGCCTGCTTTGCCATACTCCTAATTCCTAACTCACAGTAGGAAATGAGTAAATAATTATAGTAGGTGCACTAGTGATTTTAGCCAGCACTAAAGTCACCACAATGAGCTTTTGACATAAAGTGGAGTGACAGTCAACAGGTTACAAGTTCTCACTGCTCTCATTTGACTTCCAACAAATTAGACCTACTTTTGGATAATTTTAAAACATGCTCCCTCAACGGTATGAGGATAGGATGATCCACACCACAGGTCTAAAATAACAGTCAGGCCACTCTTACTAATCTTTGATCCCTGCAATCATTGCAATGGACTCAAAAGTCTTGAATAGTGTCTGAATGCCAGGGCATCAACAGTCTCCTAGGGAGGTTGCTGTTGTAATGCAGTTTCAATACATGACCAAGACACAATGAACATCTTATTTGAATGAACTTCAATGGCATTTTGATTTGGCTTCAGTGGAGCCACAATGTCATCCACCAAATGTCTCATGCACACAGTACATGTTATGACTATATTTCAAGTAATAATATACTAGTTCCTAATAGAAATCCTTTCAGGTATGCCCAGACCAAGGTGACATAACTTCAGTCCTTTTGAACATATCATTACGGACATTGACCTTATAATCATTAAAGAAATAAAGAATAAGAATTTGAACGTAATGAGGTCTAGTTTTCTTTACAATAACCTTCATTACTGTGAAAGTCTCGCTTTCTTTTCTGCAGGAGACAGTTATTCATTTGTAACATTTGGTTCTCTCCTGTTTTATTGTTTAACTAAACAAAAAAGTCTAGGCCAAAGTTATCCTGCTGTGTTTCCATAGCACTGTTAAAGACATGCCAGAGATCAAATTTTCAACACCTGTCTTCTGCCCAAAAACATGAGAATGAAATTCATGCTTAAAAATTCACAGAGAAACTGAAAAGCAAGATAGTACCATGAATTCCTAAATACAAGTTAAAGACTTCAATGAAAATTGGTACCGACTATCCAGACTTCCAGCAGCAATGTTCCAGAGGGAAAGCTCCCTTTTGGGAACAGTTCAGTTTAAGAATAGATGTTTAAAGTGGTCATAGCAATAAATGGCATTTAACTGTGATTCAGGAGTAAAGGACAGGTGTTGAGTATTTGAATGAATCTGTCTGATTTATTGATTTTACTCTAGCTTCATATTGTTTTTCTCCTTCCTGAGCGTGACTGAGATAAGGTTTTAAATAATATCCCAGTAATCATGTTAAACTGCCTTTTAAATCAGGAGCTGTTAAATTTGTCCCAGATTTAGGGCAACCAGATCACTAAAAACACAAACAGAGGTAATTTGCATTTGACTTTCAAACAATATTGACAGGTGAAATCTATATAAAGGGTGCTTCAAGGCTTTAATTGTCACTGAATAGACGTCTAGATGATTTAGGCCTTAACATTCACAATTAATTTGAGCCACAGGTTTCTGACTGGTGTTAAATTAGGCCCTGGCTAATTTCACACTAGTCAAAAATCTGGTGTGAAATTAACCAGGGTCTAATTTAACATAAGATCTTGCACTGCAGGAGCAATTCTTATGCTTCAGTGTAACTTGAAAGCATTACACTCTCGATCCTATTACAATTTCTTTTTTTATAAGGTCATCTTTTATGAAAAAGCACAGGACCTTGGAGCTCAAATACATTCCACTTCTATTTAACTAATCATTTTAATAATGCTTCTTAGTGTAGCAAGCAACAGTAATATAATCAGAAAGAGGAATGTATTCTCCACTTAAAAGAAGGCACATACAGAGGATAATTACAGTTCACAGCATAAAAACCCCCAGTATTCCTTAAATTTCTTACTTGTTTCTGTAGCTGTAACAGTTACATTGTGCCAAGAAGCTATCTCTCGGTCCAGAGGTTCAGTGGTAATGATTGCTCCATTGTGTTCATTGATGCTGAACAGTCTCTTTAAATGCGTGCTGTGGACAATAGAGTACCTGCACCAAAAAAAGGAAAGACATTCCCTAGTACTGAAATGTTTCCATCAGAGGCAAGGACATAGAAAGCTATTGTCAGCTGAGAAAACAGAGCTGTGCATATATGTATATAAATGAGTGCTGCAACAACTCGAAAATCATGAAAGATGTACACTTATAAACATTTAAAATTCACTGCTGCCAAGATCAAAGCTCTTCTTTTTATAAAACTAAATACGTCTCAGATCTATATTAATATGAACTGAATCTGAAATCCATTATTCATTCTTACTTCTAAGTCAGTCTCACAGCAGGTGAATGACTTCATTGAAAAGAAACAGCAAAATTGCCACTTGTGAAATGAATAACACAAACATCTAAGTGGAGGTATAATAGCAAATCTATTTTATCATTGCTGACATGCTCTGATGCTAAGGGAATGGGCATTATAAAGACAGACAACTATCTTTAATGAGGTAACACTAAGGCAGAGTACAAAATGCTAATGCAGGACGTGATTGCAGGGAAGACTCAGTGCTCCTGAGTCTTTGCTGAAGAGACTCCAGATGCTGCGGACATGTACATGTGCACATACATATACACATGCCACTCAAGTTTTTCAAGTCTAATCATTTGTTGCGGGACAAAGATGAACTGAAATAACAGCCAAAGATATTGGTTCAAATGGAAAATATATTCACTGATGTTTGTAATGGCTGACAAAGCAAATGGCTATATAATGCAGTTGCTAATAAAGTCTATTTCATGGAAATAAAACATGTTTGAATAGCTGAAAGATTATTTCCACTCCAATTTAGAATGCCCAAATACAACTATTCCTTCTTACTGTACCTTTGATTCTGCTTGACAAAGCCTTTTTGTTTCCTGTTGACACTTAGGACTCCAGCTCAGATAACATGTCAGTGGTTAAATGACTCTAGCTTGTTATTTATAGCTGTATTTTGTCTCTTTTAAAAATCAGTAAGAAGATAAATCAAAGAAACAGCACAATACTATAAGTGAAAGTTCTTATAATTTGAACCAAAGTTTGAATACTTATAAACTTCTATTTAAGATATTTATGATTTTTTGACATAGTTATTTTGTTTTGTTTGGACAGTTTTTGGTAATCTAATTCTTGATAAACATTTTTCAGAAAAACTATATTAGGTATTTATTATTTTTTTAAATTTTTTTTACTAACATAATGAGGTCTTGTTGCACACCTTTTTTGTTTGTTTGAAACCTGGAGTCCACAAAGCAACACAAGTTGTTTTCTTTATTATAGGTAACTGCTGTTGTTTATGATATGAATGGTTTCAAAATTAGATTTATTTTCATGTCACTTAAAAACATATCTTTATATTAAAACTGATATACTCTATTCTAGAGGAACTCAATGAGCCAATACCTGTATCGCTCTTTTGGGAGTATGCCGACATATTCAATTTGAAGCCAGTTCCTACAAAACATTCCTAACTAAGAAGTTATGGATATGTGTTAGTATTCAACTGTTCCACAAGAGATGTTGCAGTCATCTAAACAAACCACCAAATGAGCCCTTTTAGAGGAAGGACCAAAAAAATATATGTAAATTTTCTTTTTCTTATTTAATTTAGCTTAATTCTTGCTTAATAAATAACAGTAAATAGATGGAAAATCATAACAAATAACTGCCTAAAGCTCTGAGCTGTAGCATAATATAGATATACTTCTGATATTTGAAATCTACACACCATAAATTATTTTGTGTCTCAACCATTTGTCACTCTATCCTGCTTTGTCTAAATTGCATAATACACAGTGATGTCAGGCAATTCAAGAAGCTATTTTAATTATAAATCCCATGTTAAAGATTAATTACCTGTTTTCTCCCTTAAGAGACAGCAAAATTATTTATCATTGGTATCATAAAAAACAGAATCTGTTATTGCTGGGTTGAATGTTTATGTGTCAGCTGGCTTGTGTTAAGCAAGTGTTTTGAGTCTTTTTGCATCCCTTGTTTTTCTTGGGGATATGTTGATGATTTGGGTTTTTTCCATCTCTAATTTTATTTGATACTATTTGTTATTATTATTATTAGTAGTAGTAGTAGTAGTATTGCATCCCAGTGGCTGTAGGAGTTAACAAGTGCCTGTATGGTCCTTATCTGCTCATGTGGGTTAAACCATGACATCTGCAATAACCTTGGCTATCACAGAAAAAGCATAATTAACTGTAATTACGAGCTATGGTAAGGAACAGAAATGTGCTTTGGAAATACCAATTATATTTGCATTTGAGGCCTGTTCACATTTTAAGACAGGTACCTGATTGGACTGTCATCATTATCTGGATCTCTAGCAGTTACAACCCCCACCAGTGCGCCAATCATAGCTCCTTCAACAATCTCCATCACATAGTTCTCCAAGGTGAAAACTGGAGGTTCATCAGCATCTTCCACATTGATTTTGACAATGGTTGTGTCTTCAAATGGTCCTTCTTTCAAAAAACGCTGATCAATGTATCTGTTTACAGCTTTTACTTGAATACTGTATCTCCTTTTACTCTCATAATCCACTCTCTGTTAAGAAATAAATTGATATTTGGAATATTTCTTTCTTCATATTTAAATTAAATATAGTTCAATAAATGGTGCAAGATTTAAGACAAATTAGTGTTATACTTCTTTTAAGAATGTTTAAAAAAATGGTTGCTTCTTAAAGTTAATTCTGAGGTTTTTTTATGTTAAAAAACACTTCCAAATTAGAATGTGCTTGTTCCTTTCACATTTCATGTTAACTTTAATGTTGCAGTCAAGCAACACTGTAAAAAAGAATTTACATAGAATGTCACCCCTAGTAACACATAGTTTCATTACAATTTTAGTCTTCATCTTCTGAATAAATAAATATGTATATATAAATATTTACAAAAGACATACTAAATAAATAGTTTCCCAAACTAAAAAAAAAAATAAAAACAAAACCAAAAATTATCAAAACAAAACTCTCACACTTATAGCATTCAATTCTCAGGGTCCTAGATTTCACTAGGCTATTGAACTCTGTCTTTATTTCAGATGATCCCTGAGATGACCGAGAAATTTTCCTGAGTGATTCCGAAATAAATTATACAGTATCAAAGAATATTGATTTTCTTAATTCATAAACTGGTCTTTTTTGATTGTACTTAGTTTCTTTTCAAAGCTATGTCATAACAAAAACTCCACTATCTAATACAGTAATAGATTCTGGTTTCAGTTTACAGAAGGTGTAGGAAATGAGGTGAGATTGCTTCCAATCTACTGATAAAGATTTTACAGATGATGCACAGAAGAGATAGAACATTTTCTCACAATGGGATACACTGTGTTGCACAGTTAGGAATAACATTAAGATATTCTGATTGTCACTATTATATTCAGCAGTAATAGAAATGAGTCAAAAATGTAAACAGAAAGAAAAGCGTTTTTCTTTTTATTCCTCATAATATTCCAATCAAATCACAAAGCCTAAAGAAAAAAAAACCTAGGGAATCCAAAGGAATAGGCCTTATATACACATCCAAGTTGCTTGAGGATTTTCTTTCAAATATTTAAAGGGTTGTTGTTTTTTTTTAGGTTTCTGAGATCTCACCTTGTTTAGTAAGATAATACCTTCTTGAGTCTCATTGTTAGTAATGATGTTAAAAACATCTGGGCTATCTGTTTCAATGAAATAGTCCATGGCTGCATTCTCCCCAATGTCGCTGTCTTCTGCAAAGACTTTGCCTATGGTGGTGCCCACGGGAGCCTCTTCAGAAACACTCATGTAGTAAAGCCCTAAGGAAACAAATACTGACAAAGTTTAATGATCTGCTATGGTTAATCAGTGCTGTAGCTTGAGGCTCTCAGAGAGCTGGAAAATGCCTCAACTTCTACAAGAGCAATGGACATAATCTGGCATTGTATAAATCTTGGGTGCAGGGCAGGAAAATCCTTCCCCTTGGGACCCTTTCCATCTCAGCTGTACCTCAGCAGTGAATACAGCAAAGGACTAAACAAAAAAAACCAACCAAACAAACAAACAAAAAAACCCCAAAAAACCAAAAACCAAAACAAAACAAACAAAAAAACAAACAAACAAAAAAAACCAAAAAAAAGATAATGGTTTTAAATTGAAAGAGGGAAGGTTTAGATTAGATATAAGAAAAATGTTCTTTACTATGAGTGTGATGAAACACATGAAACTGACAGGTTGTGTTCCGTCCTTGAAAAAAATTTTAGGTCAGTTTGAATGCAGCCATTGCAGCCATGAGCATCCCTTCTCATCGAAGGGAGGTTGGACTAGATGACAGTTAAAGGTCCATTCCAACACAAGCTATTCTATGGTTCTATGACTGAACAGGGTGAAAAACCAGTGGAGGACAACATTTCCCAACAGCACAGATTTTTCCTGGTAGCCCAATGAGCATCTCCGACATCTGGTAGAAACTACCTGGACAGAGACGTTCATATCATTTGCCAAAAACTTTATAGTATGTGTCAGAAAAAAATGGAGAGAGGAAAAGAAGAAAGAAGGTGAGTGAAAATGATGCTAAATATCCCATTTTCCAGATTTTAGGCTGAGGTAGTGCAAATTATAGGGAAAGTTGTTTAACCATTTGTCTCCAACATCTAGTGGTGAGTAAAACCATCAGGCTTGAGATTTTTGCAATGATAGATTTTGTTTTCCTCTTGGTTTTTGAGTTTTGTCAGGACTTTTTTTTTCTCCACTATTTTATTTTTTTACAGCTGTATGCTGAAGTCAAAGCACAGCCCTATTCTAAAAAGATCTACCAGCAAACCTAACAGAGCTACAGTGGATCTAAATTTCCTCAGGACTTCCATTACTGTAATTAGCCTCTACTCACGCTGTTGAAATTTAGGTGGATTGTCGTTGATATCAGAAAGGTTGATGGTAACAGTGGCTGTTGCAGAAAATGCTCCTGGCTGCCCAACCATGTCTTTGGCTTGAATGATGACCAAATACTGATCTTTTGTTTCTCTATCCATTTGAGAAGCCATTCTAATGACCCCTAAAATAAAAAGTATAACATAATAGCAGATACATCTCATTTTTTTATCAACATTTGACATGGGTATATAGTATAATATGCATATAACATGTATCACTGGACCAAGTTACTCATTTTCATTCTAGACTGTGTATAGCACAACTGTCCTAATACTGGGTATTAGTCCTCATGGTAGCAAGTATGCTGTATGTCAAATCCATTCTGTATATTTAGAATTCTAGGGGGCAGAATGCTCCATGTATTTTCTCTACCATATATAACCATCTCTCTTACTCAGAAATTAGGTTTTTGGAGGGATGTCACATATCTGTGGTTTCTCCAACATACAGGTAGGAATATCACATGGTGTGCCTTAGAGCTGTTAATTGAGAAGTGTTCCTAGGTTAAGTCATTAAGCGGGATATTCAGAGTCTAACTCTTTAACAAGATAATTTTCTAAACAAAGGTTTGATTTGCTAGAAAGAAAGAATTTAATCTTCCTATGGGAAAGAAAAGTTGATTTTCTTCAGATCTAGGGGCAGCAATGTAAGAGTGTAGGGTCGTATGAGAGGATATTTGTGTTGAAATCAAGAAAGGCAATTTTACTTGCATCCATTTTATGAGTTTATGAATGTTTTCAAGTTACAAGTTCACTTGTAGTACCTGTTTTTGGCTCCACAGAGAAATAAGGCTGTCCCTGAATGAGACTGTAAAGCAGACGAGCACTATTCCCATAAGAAGGATCATCAGCATCTGTAGCTGTTACCTGTGTAACCGAAGTACCTCAAGGAAAAATAAAATAGATTACGTTTGTTTTCTTCTCGTATAAATTGTCTCATAATTACAAAACATAAGCTCTTTTAAAACCTTTTAACATACCAGTTATACTAATAAACAGTCCTAAAAATTTACAGGACCAAATGACACCTACTAGAATTTATCATTAAAAAAACAGAAAATATTTCCTCAGCAGCTGTTCTTCTTACATTCAAAATTTCAATTAAAATAAAAATAAAAAATATATTATTTTTCAGCACTACATTTATACTGCTTTAAATATGACATATATTATGCCTATTTTCTAATATGATAATCGAGTAAAGCAAATTGTTTCTCCTCCTCTTGTGTATTCTTCAAAGTATTTTATGGAATTTTCTCATAGGAATAAGAAAACACAGTCACTTTATCACTAGTAGGCCCACTGGTGATAAAGAAATTAATTGTTAACAAGCAAAACAGCCAAGAAGTATTACAAGGTCTGACATTTTTTTATTCTTGAGACTTTAATGAGCTTGTCTCACTGCAAAACTTCTGGTAGAAATCCCAGTGCAAAAACACAGTGGAATCAAATTGCTTGATTTCTTCTTTGATGGGAAGCTTTTCATATCCTAGACAGAAGATTGAGAGTAACCTCATGGCACCATCTCTAATGACTGTCCTAAAAAAGTATCCACAGTAACATAATTATTTAAGGCAATCATTATTTTTGTCATTTTTTTCCTCACCTAGATTCTGCATTAGAATACAAATATCACTTCTTGGGAGGAACAGCAGGAGATCAAGCTACATTCTAAAAATTTCTGGCATATGTTCATATGGTTGCACCTGTTTATCAATACAGCAGTATAGTTAGGCTGGAGAAGAAAAGAAGGAGAAAAGGTGGAGTGCAAGGAGTTAGACCAGAAGAATCTTTTTTTTAATGACAAAAGCAAATGTGATATTTTTCTCAAATAAAACAAATATATTCACTGGGTTTTCTTGCATAAAAATGGTTTTATTTTAAACAAAAAAGAAAAAATGCTTTCTCATATAAGGATAAGCTAAATTAAATAATTTGTTTCCTTAAAAACATTTTTTGTACATTTTCTCTCAATTTATTAAGAAACATTTGAAGTGATTCCATAATGCATGGTATCTTCTCTCAGAATACCATACTCTCTCAGAGATTAAACTGAACTTTTATTAATTCCCAATTTTGGACCTATGTGTCCTTCAGAACTTACCTACAATATCAAATATCTGACCTGTGTGTTTAGATGCATAACTATAGATGTTTTAGATGCTTGTATATATATATATATATATATATATATATATACAGATCCTATTGCTCTGGAGAAATTTTAAAGATAAAATTACACATTCATATTTAATCAGGACACATATATGCCTCAGAAATAACAATTCTTTAATAAGACTGGAGAGTTAATGTAACCTTCAGCTACACAATAGTTTACATAATATCAGCTAAGATCTATGAAAATTGATCTCACAATAACAGAAAATTCAACCCCTAAGAAAATTTAGCATTACTAGAACACAGTTGTTTTGGAAAAAAAAATAAAAAATTACCAGTTAGGAAGGGATCAAGAACTACAGATGATCCAACAGATTTAGTCTGTCATGAATGTCATTTTCTACCAAACCAACTCAAGTGTCCACACCTATGTTTAGGAATGGGTGTATTTATTGCAACATATTTAGTAAATCAGGGATAAAATACAACATATATAGGACTTCAAAGTTATGATTACAGCTTTGTTCATCCCAGATTTAAAAGTAGATCTATTTTCTGCACAGTATCTAAGCATTATAAATATTAACTCTAAACCAGCATTTCCTTTCCATTCCTTCTTGTCTCTAAACTCTTCTAGAGTATTTCAGAATGCAGAAGTAAGGATTTTGTCCAGTTGGAGTCAGTGAGATGCAGCTGGTGTATGTAATTAATGGAAATGTGAATAGTCAAAAGGAATCTAGTAAAGAGGGAGCTGACAGGAAGGAGGAAATAACAGATACCCTACATTCCAAGAAGGAAGACAATTAATTTCTAAATTGAGGTGACAGGAGACCATGTAAAGAGCAGGCAATCATTTCTCACATTTTTTTAGGACAAAGATTGTGTTATAACTATATGAACCTCTGTGTTAAGTATGGACTATGTAGCAAGTAGAAGAAAAATGTCACCCTGGCTTTAGAGTACATTCTGTTTTAAATTTTTCACTTCTGTGACACCTGTATTTCTTTTTACAATAAACATCAGAAAAAACAATCCACCAAAATGAACTTAACAAAAAGTGAAACAAAACCCCCATCAAAAAAAAATAAAAAACAAAACCCACAAAAGAACCCCAAAACCCAACTCAAACCATATGAAGAATGGAATCATACTACCTAGCATTTGTATGTGGGTGACAGAAATTGAAATATTAATATTCTATACTCAAAAGCTCCAAAAAGCCATTATTTGTACCTACATGATTGTGAGAAGAAAAATTGAACAGATATAAATCATATACTTTAAAACAATCAATTAACATATAACTGCACACATCCCCTAAAATTTAAAAAAAAACCCCAAAGCCCTAGTCCTGACATTGCAAATATCACATGATATAACTGACAATTGAACTTTTTGATTAGGTTTATTTAAGGCAAACTGCTACTTTGTATCTCTGTAGCCTTTGTTTTACCCTTCTCTGGCAAAATATAGTAGAATGCCATTTATACGCTGCAGCCCATTAAGTATACTATGGGGCCCTCATATGGCAAATAGCTATTCATTTTTCTAACTAGAGCTTGAGATCTATAAAGACATTAAGTACTGATAGATTATTGCATCTGACTCTTAACCACTCCATCAGATCAGCATTTGTACAAGTTTAACAGCTATAAGGAAGAGAGTGTAAAATCGTACCAAGTGCCTGAGGGTAGAGCCTTGTGTTCTCAGAAGAGAGTCCATTTGCAGACACACTATTCATTTACTGTGACACTTGCATATAAAACCCTAATAAAATTTAGTGCTGAAGATAAAAGAGAGCTAATAAAGAATTAAAATGTATTCTAATTTGTTGGCACATTTGTATACATATTGATACTTGTAACTAACTTCAGGCACTGTTATTTGTGTCTATTTTCTGATTTTGCTGTGGTTGTGTGAGGCAAATGACCAGCTCTGAATTATTCTCTATTCACTTAGTTCCAGACGAAATATGCACTAGCGGTGACCTGCTTTCCCAAGTCTTGACCACGCTTCCCAAGTGTTTTCTGTGAGGAAATTATTAGGAGACTGAGCATCTGTGAGCAGAACTGAAGCTAGAGAATACTGAAACAGAGGAAAGAGCAAGCCTCTCTACTGCACTGTCATTTGAATTAACTCTGTTCCTCACCCCGTATTATGCAAGAGCATGTTTTAGTTTACTGGAAGTTTATAAATATTCATGTAAGTTTGGTTTAGAATGCACACTGAAACAGGTTTCACCTCAGTAGTGCAATTCCCACCTTTTGAGAAGCAGGATAAGTCAGCCCCAGGGAGTGCTTAAGATGTGTGTCTCAGTTGTTTCATGTTTTGGAGATGACCACTATCAAGGTATAACACTGCACTTGCATTCTATGTTCCATACATACACATTAGTATTCCAGTGGTGTCTCCATGGAATAAATAGATGAAAGAATGATCTCTGGAATAGCTATGGTATTAGTGATAGAGATGTCAAGTGTAGAGGCAGTAATGCAGAAAATATTTCAAGATCCTGGGTGATCTGGATTTGTGTATTATACATGGGATGATCGTAAATCAGTAAGTTTACTATTTCAGGAAGTCTGTGTCTGAGAGAGAAGGCAAATAGAAATCTTACTTCGTTTTTTCACCCATTCTGACAAATGGGACATGGTTTTACTTCTGATTTTTTAATTTACTTTTTTCATTTCATTTATTTCTATATTTCACTGGAATATTTATTTATACTATTACAGGAATATCACAAAGTAAATTACCTTTTCTGCAGCTTAATTAATCTTATACTGAAGTGATACCATGTTTTAGGAATCTAAATACACAATAGATGACACAAGAAAGTGGACAAAGACAACTGAGCCTTTCATTTTTAGTGCATCTCTTTATATAAAACTCAAGGCAGTACAGAATGAAACTACTCAATTGTCAACTGCTTCTTGATGGTTTCAGATGAGAAACAGAAGTATATGGGAAAAGATTACTACTGGTGTTTTTCGTCTTAAGTACCACCCTACTTGACTATTTTTCTTTTTTTCTTTTTTTTTCCATAAAGTCATCATAAAGGCAGAAAGATAAAATGGAAGAAATTCTGTTGTTCATACATTTGTGTGAATGGTTACAAGTCTCTGTGAGCATAAATGAATACATACAAAATAATCATCCATTTAAAAAACATTTTCATGAGACTAAGGGGCCTCTAAACAACGTTTTATCACAGAGGAAATATTTTTTTTTTTAAAAAAAAGGAATTATCAAAGTCCTAATTTTTTTAAGTCCCATATAATTCTAGACTGCATTCATTATTAATAAAAGCACATAAAAAATAAAAATGCAAAGGTCTTTGACAAGACACCTATCTTGTCTCCAAGCTTGAGTGAGTGAGCAAAATGCAAATGATGGAAGAACCCTCTGAACAAACGACAGATTATATTAAAAAAAAGTTATTTGACCAAGAGGTCAGGTGCCAGCTTAAGTCTGTCTGCACAGAGGAAAGTGGCAGTAAAGAAACAATAGAAGTGATTTCCCTGGTGGTAGGTGTTATAAGCAGGTAGCAGGTATCATTAGCGAATAAATCGATCAAATGCATGTCTTTTGTAGTTAGTGCTGGTGGTGATGGTGAGCTGCTGCATCCTGGCAGAAATTAGGATAACCCCACTTTCTATTAATACCAGACATGAATATTCTTTTCTGGCAACTGTCATCCTGGTAGAAGAAGATAAAGTTTATGGCTTGCTTTCAAATATTCACTGATTCCGCTCTAAAAGTTGATCAGATAAAGCTTAATAGCAACACTGATGTTATTACATTAATGACCTCATTGATTCATGCTATTTTAAGTGGCACAATATTTGAATTTCTTTTCAATATCAGTTGCAATAGAAATAAGCAAAGCAAGTAGGCATATAAATTAAAAACATTACTGGGGCCTTTTCTGTAAGATCTGAAGAATCTAGTTTCCCTTTGATTTTGAGGACAGTTATTTGGAGACATCTACAACATGGCTGTTTACATCAGCTGTATTCAAACTTTGGGATTTTTGAAGGCTTTAGACATACTTGTACATGTATTATGAATGTATATGTGTATGTAAAGATAGATAGATAGATATACCTATATTTGCCAGATGTTGACTTCGCTTTGCATTTGTTGTATTAAGTTTCCAGATACATGGCAAATCCTAGTACAGGTCTGTCTGATCATGTGAAAGTGGGAAAGAAGAGGTACAGGGATTAAGTTGTTCCTCTTGAACAGGAAAATTATAATTCATGTACTTAGGAAATCAGAAGGCAGTCCTTCACTGCACACTATCTAACCCAAACAAGGAGAAGCTGACTGATAGGAAAGAAGCTTGGCAGTGTAAATAGTCAGGCAACATGCAGAGAGTAAGGGTGGCCATCACATCTTCACAACTGGCTGCAGTATGCTACCTATTTCATCTGGGCACATTATATTTTTAAACAAGTGCAAATGTCAAGGCTGAATCACCAATGGGAAAGACAAAAGTCTATAGTCAATCCAAGCATGTATCCAGAATCTGAAAAAAGGACTTGGATAGATATAGGCTTAAATATTTAAAAACAAGAATATTAAGTGGAGGTATTCACAACCCTCAAGTTAAAAATACACCTTTGCAAATTTCCAAACCTGCAAACCAGTCCTTCTTACTGAGATGCAGTCTGTAAAATATGCTATTAAGTTTTTGTTTCAACACAGCTGTCTAGAAAAAAATCAGGAAATAAAGAGTTTTATTCACAGCATATCATACCTTCAGGTGACATCTCTGGAACAGTGGCCAGATAAGGTCCATCCAAGAACTGTGGTTCATTGTCATTGACATCTCGAACCTTGATGATAAATTCTGATTCAGGTTCCACAGGAAGCCCAGTGCTCCTGTTAATTGCTTGTGCTCTTAGAGTGTAGAAAGGTTTCTTTTCTCGGTCCAGCTTTTGTTTTACATAAATTTTGCCGTTAGAGTCATTGATGAAAAAAAGGCTTCCAGCTCCCTCCCCAGTCAAAATGTATTGTAAGTTGCCATCCTGCTTGTCTAAATCTGATTTCAGCTGAAAGTACAAAGAAGAAAAATAAGTCACAGTTTGGGAAGAATAAAGTTTTGAAATATTAATTTTGTGCTTTTTTTGATTCTACAATGAACCCTGTCACTAATGAACCTTCTTGGACACTAATATTTGAAAGGAGGTAATGTCACATTTTCAGCCAACCATTTTAATTTTAAAATTATTTCATTTTAAAGTATATATATAACAGATTTCTAAATGCTTTATATACCTGAAAAGAGATTTTTCTGAAGTGAAGGGAATGTATCTAGGTACCTATTTGAGTTCATTGTTTTATCAGCTCCCCAAAAATTCTGCTGAAAACAATGCAAAGGTCATTAAACATTATCTAAATTTTTTTTATTGCAGTACACATGTACTTTTCAAGTAGTTTGTTTTTTTTTTTACTCAGCAGTGCGAAGTATAAAGGTATGCAACAGTGATGTTCAGTTTCTGCTGAAATATTAAAGAGGTGAAAAGACATTCTGTGGTGAAAGTCTGTATTGTTAATTCCAAAATAAATTGACAGACATTTTCCATTTCCTTCCAGGATGGTCTACATAGTCTGTTATGTTGCTAAGATGAACTTTATGGTGATGATTACTTTGACAAAGCTGAGCCTTGGAGACAATTTTGGTCCAGCTGCATTTGTTCATGACAACAAAATAGTTCTGTTAATGTTAGTGATATATAATAGAGAAATATTTTAAGAGCAATAACTTAATCTTCTAATATGGCAGGCGTCCACAGTGGAATTTTATGGGAACAAAAATTTCCATTATATCATTAATTCTCTATTTTTTCTCCACTTATTTTGGTTTTAGAACAAAAAATGTCAAACTCTCTAAGAGCCTGGATGCTAATTGAAAAATCAAAAGTTTAAAAAACACATGTTCTTTAACTTGCTTCTCCTATGAAGCAATATATCTAAAATGCAAATAATATGCCTAACTGTTGACTTTAACTATCTCACTGTTCTGCTTATGGTAATTGACCCTAAAGTTCACTGTAAGTTGTGAGGCCATTGAATACAAAAAGAACATTCCCCTATTGGATATATTCAAATATTTTGTGATAACTTCTGAAGCTGCAAAAATAGACTTAACTTTTCTTTGTAAAAATGCCTATGCCTTTTAAGATTTTCATAATGTTTAATTGTCTTCATGTATCAGATGGATAATATATTCAGAATGTGACAGGGACACTTCTCTGAGATATAAGGAACAGTTTTGAGTTCCTACTGTGAGTTCCATAAAGGTATTTAAAGCTTATTATATTCATAGGTAAATATCCTTGCTGGTAAAAAATACAGAATTTTCAAGTCTAAGGGAGTTTAGAACTATTTAAAATATGAACAACTTAAATATTTTCACCATAAGAAGTTGTGTGCTAAACATGGGCCATGTTACCCCTTTATAAGTGGTTGGGTCAGACTCATTTTACCATTCAAATTTGGCATCTCACTAAGGGGCAACACAGATTCTTTGTTATCCATAAATCTTGATTCCCTTATCACAGAACACACAACATGGAAGAACTGATCTACATCTAGATCTTTTAACTAACATGGGGCTCAGATGTGACCACAGAGTGTGTCAAACCCTTAGAGTCTGGAAGCACGCCTTCAAACAGCTGCTAAGACATAACCTCTGTTTAGCAATTGCACTCAGAATCATTTATCCACAGGAGATTTCATGACCTTGAACATGCTAAATGAGAGGTCCCTTACAGATGACATTTGCTGAGAAAGAATAGCAAAGGTTCTCCTCATTTTACTTGTTTTTTTTAGGCTGGGAACAAAATAAATGGTCATACCATTGTAAATGAGAGCTGAGAACAAGTATTCCTGTACTCATACTTGTGTATCTGCCATTGCAGTACTGATGGACACATTTATTTTTTCTTAATCTGATAATGGAAAAGGAGTCATGAGTCTATGTTAAATGAAATTTGAAAATTTAGTTCTGGCTATAAAAAGATTTTGATATGGAATAGTGATTTAAAAACAGAGACTGTCTACCTTTGTATTTTCGTTGATGCAGTTTTCTTCAGGGCCTTAATTACTAAAAATTCATGTGTTGATCATAGACTACAACTTCATTTGCTGAAAGCAGTGCATATTCTACTCAATAAAAAGACACAAGTAAATATGTCTTATTGGACAATGGTTTCACTTCAATATATTAACAATAATCTTCAATAAAATCCCCAGTTAACCTGTGAGAAATAAAAAGGTGAAATCATGAAAATACATGAAATTTAGAAAGTTTCTTTGCAGGAAACTGTTTTCAAGGTATAGGAAAAATAATAAAAAATTTAAAAGAAATAGTATGTCTTCACTTGTTCTTTCAGAAGTGAGATATCACACTTCCATAGTAACTACTTTGAAAGGGCTGTGAAAAAGTAATTAATGAATTTTGAGCACTTCACCCTTTGGGCCCAATTAAATTTTAGTGCTAGTTAATTAGCAGTTAAACTTATTTTGGTTCATTCATCTAAAAAGGGCCTTAAAGAAAAGAAAAACAGATCTCAAGATTAAATTACTTCTAGCATACAAAAATAAATAATAATAATAATAAATATAATAATAATAATCATAAGCAGAGAGAGAAGGGGGAAGATAAACCCTCATTAAGACAATTATCTTAAAGCACATTTTTAAAGGAGGGTGAAAAATAATTGCTCGTTGTGCTAAACTTACGTTAATCTAATGAACCATGCAGATTCCTGCAGTTTCTCAGTGGTAAAAGGATTTAGTATTAATCAGCTTCATTAAAAATTAATGAGGGGTAAATCAGCTGCTACTTAGTGTAATAGAAAATCATGCTAAATACTGTTTGTAAACTACACTACACTCAGTATGGCTGCTTTGATGCAGCGCCAAAAATAGCACAAGCAAATTGCCAGATGTTGATAAATGAGTCCTTAACTTCCATTCAGAAGGAAGAAAGAAACTTTTCATCTTTATACCTTCATAGACAGTGTATGGAACTAGTCCTAGTAACAGTATGCATGTGAAGTTTCCTTGACAGCAGTCCTCAGTGAGGGAAGGTGCTTGGTACTGCCGCGGCCTGCAGCTCTTGGACTTCTCTGACCTTGAGCGAGGTCATAGGAAAGGAGAGGTGTAGTACTGACTTATTACAGCTTCCTGATCTCCTCTTTCCTTGTCGCTATTTCCCCATCACTGGAGATATTTGGTCTTCCAAACAGAAGCTGCTAATCAGCATGTTAAATCTAACCTTGTACTGTCCTAGAACCATTACTTATCATACCTGTCCAACATACACAGGATCTGGTGAAATCTGCTCCTCAGTTGCAAAAAGAGGCTCCCACAGCCAGCCACGTTTCACTCTTCGAGCTGCTGTGAAAGGCTGAACTGTGTTCTGAGCACTGGAATTCTGCATGCTGGGAGAACAAGGCCAAAGTTGAACCAGCATCACCATGAGACATAGCAATACAGAGGAATTCATGCTGAACCGTTCCTTCAATCAATCTTAATCTGTGAAAGAGGAAAAAAAATAAGAAAGAAAACTTTAACAAAGCATCGCTTTTGTCTTTCTACTTTTATATATTGATTCTGCGCTAATGTAAGAGCTGATTTGCAGTGCTAAATTCCCCTCCTCTCCCCAAAAGTAAAGAGCTGAGACAAAGTCTGTTTCTTATTAAAATAGACGTCTTTTCAGAATCTCTAACATGGAAGTCAAGTGCTTAACTTTGCTTTATGAATATCCTACACAGGGACTTTTATGCAAAAAACAAAAGGAAAATAATCCTTCAATTAATTCATCTTTCAAATTAGGCTGGGTAATTGTATTGTGTAGCCTAGGAATAATTTGATTAGAATAATTGTATGTTTCTGCTTAGACAGGGCTCATTTTGAGCAGCAGTCACAAAACTGCCTGAAGGGTGAACATCTAGCCTTAGTAGCCCTGATGACTGACAGCTGAAACAGAGTGGTGCAGATATACTTTTAACCTCTTCTTACCCACTTTCCCAGTTCAGAAAAATGCCTGCAAAAATATCAAAGATGATAGGTTACCATGAAGAAACAGCAAAAGTTTACAACTTTCTCCTTCCCAACCAAACAGAAACATGGACAAGGGAGAGGTGTTTAATGGATTCTTTGTCTGTGCCTTTGGCATGGATGATGCACCAAGGGGTTCCCATAGCCCTGAGCTGGAGGAACATGACTGCAGCAATGATCAAGTCCCAGCTGATTATGAAATTGTGCAGGATATGCTGCTCCAGCTGGATCCCTACAAATCCATAGAGCCTGATGGGTTTTAACTGAGGGTCCTCAATGAGCCACTGATGTCATTGCAAAATATCTCTCAATGATTTTTGAGTGCTCTTGGGAGCACTCAAAAAAACCAGAGAGGTTCCAGCTGACAGGAAGCTGTTGGACTGTTGTCCCACTTTTCAAGAAGGGCACGAATGAGACCCCCAGAGACTACAGGATTGTCAGTCTCACTTCAGTGCCTCATCAGGTTATGGAGAAGGTTATTCCACATATGTTGAAAAACAGCACAGTAATTGGTCACAACCAGCATAGCTTTGTGAGAGGAAAGAGATGCTTATCAAATCTGATTTTCTTTCATTACATGGTATCCCACCTAGCTGATCAGTTGGAACCTGTTGATGCAATCTTTTAGGATTTCAGCAAAGCTTTCAACACTTTCTCTCAAAGGATCCTTCTAGACAAAATTTTCAACACACAGCTGGATAAACACATCCTGTGTAGGTTGAGCAACAGGCTCACAGGTTGGGCACAAAGTTATAGTGAATGGAGTGACATCAAACTGGGAACCTGTCACCCTAGTGGTATTCTACAGGGCTCTGTGCTCAGCCCTGTATTCTTCAACATCTTTATGACTGTCATTGAGGGCTGGAACAAATGTTAAACAAGTGTGCAAATGATACAAAACTGGGAGGAGCCTTTGAAGGCAGGGAGACCTTGCAGAGAAAACAAAAAATTAGGGGTCTAGGCAATCGCCAGTTGTATGAAGTTCAACAAGGGAAAGTGATGGATTCTGCACCTGGGATGAGACAACTCTGGATGTACATACAGACCAGGGAATGAGATGCTGGAAAGCAGCTCCACAGAAAGGGACTTGGGGTTCCTGGTTGATGGCAAGCTGAACATGAGTCAGCAGTGCCTGGGCAGCCAGGAGGGCCAGCCCTGTCCTGGGGGGCATCAGGCACAGCATGGCCAGCCAGGCAAGGGAGGGGATTGTCCCACTCTGCTCTGAGGAGCTGGGGCAGCCTCACCTCGAGTGCTGGGGGAAGCTTTGGGTGCCATAATATAGGAAAAACATTAAACCTTTAGAGATCCTCTGAAAAAGGGCCGTCACCAGGATGGTGAAGGGCCTTTGAGAGCAAGCTGTATGATGAGATACTGATGCTATTTGGTCTGTTCAGCCTGGAGAAGAGGACGCTGAGAGGAGACCTCATTGCAGTCTACAGCTTCTTGTGAGGGGAAGGGGAGGGGCAGGAACTAATCCCTTCTCTATGGTGACCAGTGACAGGATCCATGGGAATGGCCTGAAATTGTGTCAGGGGAGGCATTGGTTGGATTTTAGGAAAAGGTAAAAACCCAGAGAGTGTTTGGATACTGGAACAGTCTCCCTAAGGAAATTATTAGAGCACCCAACCCTCAGACAGGGTTCAAGAAACATTTGGACAATGATCTCAGGTACACAATGTTACTCTTGGGGATGGTACTGTGCAGTGCTAAAAGTTGAACTCAGTGATTCTTGTGAGTCCCATCCAACTCAACATGAGATTCAGTGATTCTGTGAATAGAATTTGTCTGAACAGACCTTGCCACCTCTGACATTATTTTCTCCAATTAAAATGACAACGGGCAAATGTGTCTTGAAAACTGTAGGTTTCTGTAACTAGTTTCATTTCCACTACTTATACTTTCAGAAAATGAAGGCTTTTTACAAATTGTAAGCTATTACTTTTCAGTGATTATTGGAAAAATGAAGGAAATTTTAAATATAATTCAATGCTCAGTTAAGAATAATCATCTTCTGTGAGGCAAAAAGGAAAATTTTGAAAATAATACCTACTATAAACATTCCAAGTCTTAAAACTCACTTGGCAATGGCACTAGCCACTCTTTTCAAGGCTTTAGCATTGAAGAATAACATTTCCTAGGAAGGAGAAGTCTGGTTTATGAATATGTGACATGCTAGTCAGCTTGAAAAACACACTGAAAAAAAAAATAAAAAGGGATGAATTTATTTTAGACTTAAAAAAATACATAAGTCTTTTAACTGTCCAGGATAAAATATGAATTGATGTATTTTAAATTCATGATTTAAGTATTAATATTTTAAAACCCTATCATTATCCAAAAGGAAATGCCATAATTGCTTAAAAAGACAGAAAGACAATACAGAAAACTTTTTATTTCCTTCCAGCAACTTTTTATGATATTGAACAACAGTTTGTTAAAATGTAGTCTGTAGAGATGGAAAGAGAGAGAGGAGTTCTAATAGGAAGTCAAATAGAAGCACAGAGACAGAAGTTCTCCTTCCAATTTCTTCACCTTTTTTTTTGTTTTTTGACTGTAAAGCTGTTACAGTGCAAGACAAGATTTGAATAGAAGGAATGTGACTTGGGTACACTCTTGTTTCAGTTTCCTGTAGAAAACTGCTTGGTTTCCTATAGCTGCAAGAATACCTGTGACATGGAAGGAAAGTCCAACAAAGCCCAACTTGGCTCTAAAATAAAGCTTGAGAGAGGTTTAGAAGGCTAAAGATCTTGGAGTGTCTCTACACTACAGGTCTACTTAATGCTAAGCAATAATCTGCACACAAAGTAACCTTGAAAAGGAACATTCATTTTATTGCAGCACATATCAAAGGACAGACTACTCAAACAATGAAAACTGAACAGTCAAGAACACCTTTCTTAAGAAGCACAGAAAAATGTATTTCAATCACTGTTTATACATGAAGAGAGGTGTTGAGTCTCGGCGACAGTAAATATTTCTGGCTATGCTTTTGTTGTTGCTTTTGTTGTTGTTTTGGTTGCTTGTTCCAGCATTGTTCACCTCATTCAACAAAATATCTCAGGCTTCTGGGGCAGTATGTAATGCAGACCAAATGTCAAACAAATAATCATTATCAAACTCATCTGAAGACACTGTGTATAGACAACAACATAATGAGGATGCAGAATATGGCTATACTGGTCTGCTGCTGGCCACACTCTTGCAATGTGCTCAGCAGTTACATATGAACAGAATTAAATGTGCAATTAATATTTAGAGCATTTTGTGTCTTATTTTTACTAATATATGTTAATACCTTGTGTTACATGAAGTTAAGCATCATGTCTCTGACAAATTGAAGCAAGCAATTATTTTTAGATTTTGATATGCTCCGCACATTGTTATTTTAAAAAGACTTTAACTTGAAAATACAGATGGTCGGCAATTTCCTTTAAGAACAAAGCTATTTAATGGAATTGAGATCTATATGTATCTCTGTTTTTCTGTCCTCTGCTACATCAAACATTCTCAATTTGTCTTTACTTTCAGGACCTTTCAAAGCCTATTTGCTTCCAACATCTTCCCACTCATTTGGCATTGAGACACTGCCTCCAGCCCCTGGCCAGCACATGTTGCCATTTTTTATAATCCAATTGTTCCCTTGCGAAACAATCACCTTCTTTCTCTTCCAATGATTGTAGGTCAGTCTCAGAAGTGAGCCTCATAAAATATCCAGAAACTAGTTCCTTACTCCCAAATCATTTTCTAATCTTTAAAAATCTAAACTTCAGTATTACCTACTTAAAAGAAAACAAAATATAAAAGGGCTCACACTGTTTAAGATGATTCTGTGCTGAGACTGCTGCTTATCAGTGTGTCTAGTATTGCCTCATTATTCCCTTGTACTTTCCTGTCTTTCCCTATCCGTCAGTTGTCTCTTGTTTTACTCATTTGCTATGGTCTTTGTAAATGAAATGACCTTGTACTCTGTGTTATAATTATAGTATGCAGCAGAATGGAGGATTAGTAAAAGCACTGAGCTTTTGGGAACTGTAGTAATATGCACAAGTAGATAATTTTTTAATAGAATAGTTTCTCATTGAAAAAAAAAAAAAAAGGCAAATATATTTTCAGAGATGAGCAAATGATCTATCACTAAAAATTTCCCAAGGGTTAGAAAGAAATGGGAACCATTATTCTGCTCCTGTCCTTTTGGAAGTATGTCTCCAATTTTTCTCATATGCACTGAGTTGCAATAATAAAGACTGATACTTAGACCAGAGTAATGAGAATATCCATTGCAGCTGTAATAAGTGGGTTACAGCATTTAAAGCTTATAAAGCAGCATCTTCCTCTCATACTCAATGCAAACCACGAGTTTCCTGAAGACTAGAAACAGATTTTCCTTCTTGAAACAAAGTTGATGAGTTCTCTTTTAGAGTATGTTTTGGAATCTTCACCAAGTGACATCCTGTCTCCATATGAAACTCCATGTT